TTGTAAATTTTAATAATTAGAAAATAGTTGTAAAGTAAATTTATCTATAATCGGTACTAACAATAACGCACTTTCTGATTCTAATATGTCGATGATCGAACATTAGGTATTTTTTAAGTAAAAGCTAAGTAATAGCCATCTATCAGATACATAAGTCATCTATGTAGTATTGTAGGCTTACAATATAAATCACGATTACTTATTTCATATTTGTTATAATAATAATTAATTGAATTTAAATATTTGTACACAAGCATGCCTACTAACACATTGCACACATGTATCTAGTATTCTAGTATCTACCTATATTACCTACCTTCAACGTGTCACGGTACATCAAATTGTAAAAATAAATGAATCAATTTTTTTATTTTATCTATGCAATATTAAGTATAAATGAATAATTTATCTTAAATGCATTATTAAATTTCTGACCCAATTTAAATATTTTGCTAAACAAAATTATCAACATTTTCTATCAGTACCTATTAGACATTTAAGTAGGTAATTTCCTTCTCATATATGACAACTATAGTTGTAAATGTGTTAACAAAATATTTGAATTTTACAACCTTCCCTATGTTGTCTGCAGTTTATGCCTAGGCATTGGCGATATCGACTACCTACTAATGTTAGGAATTTATGACATTGGCTAGGTATTTATACGTCATTATCTAATTTACATAATTTACGGTAAAATATTATATAATATATATATATATCAGTGTTATTATAAAAAAAACTTTATTAAATCCAATAAAAGCTAACACAACATTTATTAATTATTTTACAGAACGTTCAAACCACGGAAATTAAAACTGGACCATCCAATGTTCAAAAAGTATTGACTAAAATAAGAGTTCTATCATTTCTTTTTTGGGTTGTTGCATATGGAATACTACTTTCATTTGTATGGTATTTTCAATTTTTGTAAGTTGTACAATCAATGTTTGAGAAAAGTTTGCATTGTTAAAATCTTAAAGACCCATTGGTGTTATTATAATGTTTGTGATTATTTTAATATTAATTACGTTAACATTTAAAGGTATATGGAAGACATTTCGAACATCTACCACCCCGAAACAAAACCGTACATAAAGACCATACAAGGATTGTCGTTGACCATTCAATGTTTCGGTGGAGAAGTTCCTCTTTTTTTCCTGTCCAGTAAAGTTTATAATATAGCGTCGTTCTCATCGACATACAATGCACGTACTATTACGATTATATTTTTACCGGTACAGATTTTATCATCAAACGTGTGGGTCACATGAACGTGTTATCTTTGGTGTTCTTTGCATTCACTGTCAGATTCTTCCTGTATTCGATAATTACAAATCCCGTTTGGGTATTACCAGTCGAAGTACTCAATGGCATAACGTACGCATTAGCGTACTCTGCTGTCATTTCGTACGCAGCAGAACTAGCTCCCGTCGGTGCCGAAGGAACGCTCCAAGGGATAGTTGGAACGGCCTCGGAGGGAATTGGTAACCAATATTTTATCGTGCACCTACAACAAAATAATATTTCTGATTTTAGATACCTAATAAAAATAATTTTCTTTTAGGTGTTCCCATCGGTAGCTTCATCGGTGGTTATCTGTTCAAACGTTTTGGAAGTATTTCTTCGTTCAGCATTTTCAGCTATATTGCTTTTGCAGTATGTGTTATTCAAACGATTGCCAATCAGTTAATAACTCGATTTTCTAAAAATGACATTATCAAAGAAGAAGTGTCTAATTAGTCAAACTGTTGATCCTAAAATATGATTTTATTATAATGGTAAACGACAAAATGTTATTCATGTTACCTACTTACATAAATCTGTAAATTACACTTTATAGTACTATTATTTCATACTGAGATTTTTCATAGTAAATTAAATAGAAAAGAAAATGTTTCAAGTGATTTACATAAACTATTTATTTTTTAATAATTTGAGTAATTGTTTTTTGTGTATAATTTTGTGACAAAAATCCAAATTTGAAATAAGTTTACTTACATGTAAATTGTAATATTTATTGGTAAACGTCTGATCATTACGATCGTCTAACACTCTAACAGAATAGAAACAAGCTAAATCCACCCAGTATTGCCTATTTGCCTCGCAACAAAACCATTTTTATTTCCTGTTTTATAGTAACGGAATTGAAATGGTTTGTAAACTGGTAAATAGTTAAGATGATAATTTTTTATATTTAACTATAATTATTTTTTTAATTATTTTATTACCTACTATATAATAGCTATGTTATCTCTGACTTCGCTCGAGTTAAAATTAATCTATCGTCTTCCTTGTTCCTTCAGTTGATATATACCTATATAATTCAAATACAACTACATCCGAGATATAGATTGATTTTATGATTTTTGACATCACAGTTCTGGACATATTATTGAAGTAAAGACAAAATACTGAAGGCAGGTGATGCAACGAATGCTTAATAGCCGACATAAATGAAATGTCTTTAAATGGTTACCTATATGAAAAATATCTTCAGAATTAAGAAAGAAAATTCAAAATCATGGTTGCGAATCATAAAACTTTAAATTAGTAATCATTGTAATAATTTATTGTTCTCATAAGTATTTGATTTTAAAATTTTTTTTTTTTTTTATATATTTGTAAAAATTTTTACAATATTTCGTATTTCTACTAATTTTAATAGTACTTAATAACAAAAGATATTCGATTTTCTTGACCCAAAACTAAATTAAACGGTGACCCGCCTTATAAGGGACACCTCCAGAGTTGCAAAGAAATCTATTGATATACATATAACTTATATTGAAAACGGACCATAAGCTTTTGGTTCACTAGCTGTAACCAAACCAACAAATAAACAATTTTTTTTTATATATTACTAGCTGATCCCGTGTACTTCGTTACCCGTTAAATGTACCAAATCTATATGACTCAAACTGTGTTCAATTCGTTATTTAATATTCAGTGTATGGTGTTCAAAATTTGTCTTAACTTTTCCGTTGCCCGGAATAATAATAATAATTCTGATTCTCAGCAGTATAATATTATCAGGTAGGCAATCTACCTACGGTAGATCGCGGACCCCTTGATCACGGCGTGATGTTTGTACTTAAGTGTATGATTTAACTCTAAAGTATCAAAGTTATACCAAGTTTGTTGTATTCCACCTATGGTGGATTAATATAATCAGTTAATACAAAATCCTAAACGTACTAATATCAGATGAAAAAAAAACCGAATTTAACCATCTTTAAATTGCCTGTCTTCTGCCCAGAGGTCTAATCTACACACAAACATTTATTTATTTATTTTATATATTGACAAAAAACAAAATACAAATCAAAAAACATGCCCGATTAACGAATAGCAACATTATAATACACTGTTGGGCCACTGTTGTATTTTTTTCATCCAGATTTCCTACTTTTCCAGTTGATTTTCCCAAAATTTCCTTTAGTATAAATCTTCTCCTGGCAATTATGAACATCTTAAAAAAAAAAATTTATGCCAAATCGGACCAGCCGTTCTAGAGTAAAAAATAATACAAATCAACAAACATGCCTGATTAAACAATAGCAACCAATATACCTACAATACACTATTATTATTTTAATCTGAAACAAATTTTTTTATTATTTAGTTAATTTTTTTATACACAGATGGCGCCACTATTGTATTTTTTGGCATTCAAATTTTCTACTTTACCTGTGGATTTTCCTAAAATGTCCTTTCGTTCCAATCTTCTCCAGGCAATGACGAACATCTAAAAATAATTTTGAGCCAACTAGGTCCGGCCGTTCTCGAGTTTTATGGAGGCAAACAAACAGCATTTCATTTTTATATTCATAGATAATAGATTATGATTTTATGACTTTTGGGCTGAAATTTTTAAATGAAAAAAGATTATTTATATAAATAGAAAGGTAAATAGTTCAGCGTTAAGATGAAACTAATCATATGAACTTTATCAATGATTGGTAAAATTGTTTAATCTCTACAATATTCAGTTTAAAATGATGATTGAATTCTTTAAATCCATCTAAAAACATATATATACCTATATGTGTTTTACACAGGTAGTGTTAAAATAACTGCCTTAAAATTCAGTAATGTGTACTTATAGCTAATGAAAAGACAATTATTTAGTACTAAACCAATTTTATTTACATGGTATTTAAAAATAAAAACCGGGGAAGTCGCTCTGCTGTGTTAGCAGTGAAACAAGTTAACACCTGCAGTGTGTACGTAACGTAATAGTTCGCTATCCGGCGACCAATATAAGCTATTTTGTGAAAATAACGAGATTAAAAATAACATATTATTATGTCGCAATTTGAATTAAATCCTATACATTAACAAAATAAAAAAAATCAGTAATCCTTGTAAAGTGTAACTACATAATACTCGCTTGGATTTATGTGTCTGTAAATACACTTACAAAACACACTCTTACTCACATATATACAGAGTGACGAACTGCGTTGTTTTACTGTGTAAACTATTCCTATATGGAAAAACGGTGCTGTTAATTAAATGTTTTTCGAGAAACATAGATTTGTATTGTAGATTTTCATTGGGTTTTTGTAGAATGGCTTATATATTTTATTTAAATATAAAATTTATATTTTATGATTTTTGTCTTTTGTGTCAAAAGTATAATGACAAGCACTAATGTTGTAGGTTAACTGGTTAAGTACACTAAATAGGTAATCTATATAAATTAAAACATTATAAGTATCTACCTAGGTTTTAATATGGGATATGATTACCTACTTATAAACGTTACATTATAATATGATGATTGATGGTGTATACCTACTACAGTGATTATTTAATAAACAACGATAGTTGAAGTATTTAACTATGTTTTTATATTAAAACGTCAATATTTCTCAGTTATTCTAGATATCTATAATATTCAAATGTCCCATTAACACTTTCAATATTGTGATTAAATATTGAAACGAAAAAATAATTATTCATTTCCAGTTTAAATGTAAACATATAATTTAAAAATGCCTCTTTTTCAAATAAACAAGAAACTTTTACCTATAAAACTTCATTATTTTTTGACAATGGCCGGTACGTATATAATATATAATGCACGACAAGTTTTTAATGCTATGTAATATGTATACCTATTAGTTATTCTTTATATACTTTTTTATAAACTTAAAATGCCATCATATGCATTTTTCTGTATTTAATATAGGTGCTTCTTCTCCATCATCGTGTAATTTACTCTACTAAAAATAAATTTAAATAGGCTTAAATATATTTGTGCTTAACGAGTTAATAATTTAAAACAAGTGCTTTAAATAAATTCTGTAAACCACAGTAATACAATTTTATTTCAAATGGTAATGGACTAATTTCATTATTTTTTACTCTATACTTGTATCCATTTGTGGCCTCCTTAAAAATGTTTTGACTACCAGCAGGTTTATATAAAATATATAAGTATAATAATAATAATAAGTGTATTTTAAGTTTTAGATTTTAAAACTGGCTTACACTTTTTCCGGTTTTGGTATTCTATCATGTTTCAATTATCTGCAAATCAAACTTTCATTACAAATTTTCTGTTACAAATAATTACAACTTATGTTATATAATTCTAACTTGTTATTTTATATTAAGTAAGTGTCGGGTGTATACGAGATGAAACTCTCAATGTTATAGGTATTATATTATTTATTTAGATCATGTAATATGTATGTTTACTATAAGTCTATATTAGTATATTCTATAACCTTAATACTTATGTAATATTATTTTAAAATCTATTTTATTTAAAATATGTTTATAATGTATTTAAATCAATTAACAAATATATAAACTTTAATAATACTATATATGTATTTACTTGTAATTTTCAGGCACAGCTACGATACTTCCATTCTTGTCGACAATTTCGAAGCAAAGGGGCTATTCGCCGGTCATTGTTGGTTTAATCTTCACAATTCTTCCACTTCTTGGCTTATTGGTACGACCACTTATTGGTGCAATCACAGATAAATACAAATGCCGCAAGGCTGTTTTTGTTTTGATTATAGCAATCAGGGGTCTATTTATAACTATGCTGATGTTCATACCTGGTTCGGCCGTCAAAATAGAAATGGATGACGCGGATGTAATCAAGTCACCAATATTTTGGTTATTTTTTTGCACAGTTACCTTATACAAAATAGCTTGTAATTTATCAATTGTTTTGGAAGACACGATATGCATTGATATATTAGGTAAGAACACATTTTCTAATATTATATTGTTCTTTCGATCCCTTATTCGTTCATCCAGATAAGACAATTTATAACAACAATAAATGTTCATTATACGCAATGTGTATCCATCAATGTTAAGAATTAGAAAAATTTTTCTACAAAAAAAGTGTCTTCAGACAGAAAAATAAAATAAATAAAAAATACACATCATAAAATCTATTGATATAAAATCAATGTATACAAAATACGATTCTGTACAGATCACCAGCCTATGATATTAGTATATTACATTATTACTAAGTAGGTATACCTATTTGATGATATTATTGTGATTAAAGTAATATTTATTTATTTATCTATTGGGCATTAGTACCTACAACAATAGGTTAAATTTATTTTTGACAAAAAAATTACATTTGAAAATGTCATTGTGTATATAAAATATAATAATGTACTCTAAAAATTGCATTTACCTACCCACACATAATATTTTTGAATTATAACAAAATAACTAAAATCGTACTTTTTGGTTTTAATATGTAATTTGAACTTAAAATATCAGTAAAAATATCTGTATTTATACATTTTTAGATTTTTTGTTTACAGTATGAATTATTTTTAAGAATCCTTGTTTCAAATGTTCAATCTTTAGTAACAAAAATTGAATATTTAAAATTTTAAAATTTTCAATATTTTGGTAATTTTTTTCAAAATTTGAACTTTAATACACATAGAAAAAAATCGTGACTTTCGATCTTTACTATTTATCAACGGCTGTTATAACAACTCATAAGAAATATTGTGTTAAAGTTTCAACATTTTTTTTCCGTCAATAAAGAATTAATATTATTATTACTAAATGAATTTCTATTTTTATGAATTTCCAACTCAAAATAATTTCCAAATTTTCGTGTTTTTGATGATTTTATTCAAACATTTTTACTTCAGATGCTCATAAAAAAATATTGTGGATTCACGCTCAACTTTTTTTTTAAATTCAACTAACATCAATTTATTAGGAACTTTGTTTTACATTTTTAAGCTTTTTGACGGACTGCAAAATTTTGTATCGACAATAGTAGGTACCTACTATCGAATATAACTCGAAATTTTCTTATGCCTGTAAATAGCTCAAAAATGAATGTTGGAAAGTTCAGGAAATGGATATAATTATGAATTATGAGACACCTGCTATTTGCGTAAAAATGTCATTAGAATTTTTTTTGCCAGTTGTGATCCTCTGTTTTGGTGAAAATGTTGAACTCACATCATTCTTTTTTCTATATTTAGGTGAAAACAAAACTAAATACGGCCATCAGAGGATGTGGGGCGCAATCGGTTGGGGCACAATGTCCATTGTATCTGGTGTGTGTGTAGACTGGCTCAGTAAAGGACTAGAATACAAAAACTATACACCTGGTTTCATTATTGCATTGATCTGTAGTATTTTAGATACATACTTGGTATCAAATATGCCTGTAAATAAAAATTGTTAATGCATTTCTTATAACAAGTCAATTTTTCTTATGTTGTTATTCAAAATTGTAATAACGACCAATTATAATCACTGATTTAATATTATTAATAACATATACGATAATGTATTATCGCTTTAAGAAAAGTACCGTAGTATAATACATAGTACATACGTACATGTAATTGAGTAATTATTGCCATTGTAACAAATCTTTCTAAGACCTAAAGACTATAGTAGAAATTCTTCTCATATCTAATCATTAAACTAAAAAAATATTAAATATTTTATAGTATGTCCAAAATCGGGAAATTAAAACTGGATCGTACGATATTAAAATAGTATTGACTAAAACAAGAGTACTATCATTTCTTTTATGGGTTATGGCATATGGAATACTATTACCATTTATATGGCATTATTTATTTTGGTAAGTTGTGTAAAGAGAAAAATATGCGCTTTAGCGCTTATACAAATTTAAATATTCGTCGGTTTAAGTATGATTTGATTCAAATTAATTGTTTTATTTATGTTAAAATTGTAGGTATATAGAAGACATTTCTAACATGTACCACCCCGAAACAAAACCGTACATAAAGACCATACAAGGATTGTCGTTGACCATTCAATGTTTCGGTGGAGAAGTTCCACTTTTTTTTCTGTCCAGTAAAGTTTATAATATAGCGTCGTTCTCATCGACATACAATGCACGTACTATTACGATTATATTTTCCCCTGTACAGATTTTATCATCAAACGTGTGGGTCACATGAACGTGTTATCTTTGGTGTTCTTTGCATTCGCTGTCAGATTCTTCCTGTATTCGATAATTACAAATCCCGTTTGGGTATTACCAGTCGAAGTATTCAATGGCATAACGTACGCATTAGCGTACTCTACTGTCATTTCGTACGCAGCAGAACTAGCTCCCGTCGGTGCTGAGGGAACTCTTCAAGGGATCGTTGGAACAACTTTGGAGGAAATAGGTAAAAATGGCTATTATAGTGGACAACTAAATAATATTTTTATTTTTAGACGATTAACAAATGATTTTCTTTTAGGTGCTCCCATCGGTAGCTTCATTGGTGGTCATCTGTTTAATCATTTCGGAAGTATTACTTCGTACAAATTTATAAGTGGTTTTGCTTTGGCATTATGTATTTTTCAAATGATGGTTCAGCAATTGATAAATCGTTTTTCTAAAAATGACACTGTCAAAGAAGAAGTGTCTTGTTCTAGTTATTTTACCGCTGATCCTAAATTGAGTGTTAATGATAATCTTATATAATACGATATTTATTTTTATTTTTTTTCAATCCGTAGATTGGTTCATTAATTAAAAATTCTTCTTCTAACGATATTTTTATACACCTATAACAATATTGTAAATGCCATTAATATTCTAAATTTAGTTATATAAATAATATAAAACTAAATTATATATTAACTTTATTCTTAAAGTTTTTGTGTAATGACTTGTATTTTATTTATATTATCCATACCATTCTCATAATTTTTGTCATACGTTTAACTAAGATCAGTTTTTTTATTTGTCAGATTTTTCTGTTTCATCTTGTAATAAATTAATAAAAAAATATTTTTAGAATATTGATACTTAAGAAAATTAATTTACGAGGAACCAGGTAAAGCCATCAGTTAATAGGTACATCAAAATAGTTGCATAGTGATCGTTTTTGAACCCCCCAAGGTTTTTTTGTTGGTGTTTTGGGTATTTGTAGATTAACATCGTCTTATAATGTTAATTCTTTGAAAAAGAATATAAATAAGTAATTTGGAGTGGTTTGTAAAATTAAACGTTTGTTGATAGGACGCAACCAAATGTAAACGATCTGTTATTGAAAGAGCTTACCTATAGCATAGTACCTATTGTAAAGTATTTGAGTAAAAGTATTCAAATAATTTTTTCCGTATTGAATACTTTTTTAAATACTTTTATTTTAGAAGTATTTGAACGGTGTTTTAAATACTTTTTTTTATTATTGAATACATTTTTTATTCCTTTCTGTTGGTAATTCCTGTTTAGTGGCCTCTCTACCGCCGTCAATTTTAGCTCAAATGATCTTAAGTTTTGATAAAATTAAAGTTAGTTAACGTTGTCCGATTTTGATTCTGAAAATAGTTTTTAGATCGTACTGAACACTTTGTAAAAATTAAACCATATTATTGTGAACTGTAATTGAAAACTTGAAAATATGATTTTTTCAAATCATGATTAAAATTAAAATTAAAAACGGAAAGTGTTTATGTTTAGCGTTCTTACGATCTACAGGCATTTTTCTGCTGAATTCAAATTTTTTTCAGTAAGTATCAATATCAGACAACATTAATTAACTTTAATTTTGTCGAAACAAAAAGTAAGTTTTCATAAAATTTGTGTAATGAATTTTATATTCTTATCGAGTTATTGACATTTGCATGCATATACGAAAGTGGTACCCTCATTATATTTCACTCACCCTAATAATCATTAAGTACATAAAGATGGCCCCCGACTTTGTGCAACAATTTTCAAAATTATTGCAAAAAAATTGTAAATTAGTTGTAAATAGTTGTAAATTCAATACCTGAATTTGTAAACATCCCCCTCCCCCTCGGTCGTTGAGTCAAAAATAAGTTTCGGGGGGCCAAGTTCACTTTGGCCGATCGAGTCCAGCAATCCGACCAAATATACGCTGGCTGATTTTTAGTTATTAGACACTTAAGAATAATTGTGATACTTTATTAAGTATTAGGTAGTGCGGAATTTATAATAATTTCCTATTTAATTATACCTTTTCATTGTTTATAGTTTATAGAGAATTTCTACCATCATTACTTCCTTTCTAAACTTGCTTGGGTGTAAATGAATTTCATTGAAAATGTATTACATTATACAAATTTTATAATTACTTGAGTCACCAACATTGAAAGAATGTTGTTAAAACGCCCTACTAGTTTTTATGTATGTTCATTTAAAACTCTTTTCCACGATTACTTATTTTTACTGTTACATAATATTAGTATAATAATTTTTTAAGACTTCAAATGGAGTACTAGTGAGTATTACTTAACATTTATTCTAAAATATTAAGAATAATTTAATATTTATTGCTACATTACCTACTGACATCACCTTCAGTTGAAATCATCTATACAATTAGCTGGCTTAAAAACATAGTTTATTTCTTTTCATTATGACAAATTATTTTAAAATAAAAAAATTATGATTGGTTAAAAAGTACTAAATCGTATCTTTAATTAAAAAATAAAATACAACTGTAAAATAGATCAATAAAAATCTTACTTTTTGCATTTTTTGATCTCATATAATGTTACATACTCACTGATATTTTATATTGTAATTTTATTGGCCTATGCACCTCAGAGTAGCCCAATGATTGATCAAACTAATTTTTGATACATTTTTTATTACACAGATTTTTATTGATTTTTATGAAATAAAATGAAACTCATATCTTATTTCATAACTTTACTCATAACTAGCTTTACAATTAAATATTATAGGTGTATTATATTCCTTTTAGTAATTAGTATAGAGATATTATATGAAACCGATTAACCGAAGTAATTTTATCGACGTTAGTAGCAATTGTGAAATGGTACACACCACACTCGGTGTGACACCGCTTCGTACAAATATAAGTTATAACTCGTACGTTCAAACCTTATGAATATATTTCTATTGTTCAGCAAACATGTATAATTTACAGGGGGGACGGGTACTTATCATCGGATGTCGTTAATCCTGACGGTCCAACGTTTACTGCAACTGTATAAATTATACAAATCAAAAGGGTACCTATGAGTTTATGTTTCTATAATAAGTAGTAAGTATGTGGGGGTGGATTCAGTTGACTATGACAGGCCCGTTTAACTAAGTGGTGTCTGTTCAAATTTCTCTGGAGAAGCGAGGCCTAGGCAGGCGCGGTTGGGGGGACTAATTTATTATATTGGTCGCAGGATGTGGATAGCGTAGTCGTCCTTTCTCGTGGTCGGTGGCCCGGTAACATTTCGTGATTTATAGGTCCTTCCTCTAGATTTATGGGTAGTGCTCTCCGAGTGGGTAATTGTAGGAATTGAATTGAAGTCATATAGTCATATAGTCGACAACATATTTTTTAAACTAAAAATGACCACTTCACGTCAACTTGATTTGATAGGCGCGTGTGTACTTAAAATTAACAATGTTGTAATAAAATATCTAGTAAATACGTTTCTAAATGTAAGAAATTATCATTATAATAATAGTATACAAAAGTTTATGGAATTTAAATCTAGATTTCATTCATCTAAATCATGGTACAATATGTGTGATGATTCTGATTGCGCTGAAACCGGTATCCTTTTAAGAGCATTCGTAGATTTTTATTCATCAAAACTGTTGTTAAATTATGATTTAATTGTAACTATCTGCTACATCTTATTACTTGCTGGCTACAAGCTATACCTACTGGCCACAATAGAAACTAGAAAAATAACACTACCTAATATTGCTTATTTGTTTTAGGTATAACAAAATATGATTATTAACTGAAATCAATTATAAAGTGTTTAGCGCCTCTCGACCGTGACAGCACAGCCCTGTTTGTAATTTTCTGTACATTGTTCGTTTGTTACAAATCCGCAGAACTTGTGCCAGCAGTCGTACGAATGTGCCAGGGAGGGTCGACGTGTTGTTGACACGCTCGATCTGGCCGTTGTTTAAAGAATCACGGTCGTTGGGTTTCCGTTGCGGCGCAGACGTGGAGATGGTTTCCAGTCGTCACCCGAGTTGAGGATTGACTCACCGGTGTATCGACGCCTAGTGGTGGTTGCCCCATCGACGGTGACAGATTTTCCGGATGTTCGTATGAATGCAGAGATGAACGCCTTCGATCTGAAATCCCTGCGACCTCCGCACGTCCGATCATTGATCGCCGCGCTGGACTTGGCCGGCGATCGTAGGATATCTTTGGCTGTCGGGCCACCATTGCGTCGCCATCATTTCCGGTCGTGTCCAGAGCTGAGATTTCAGTCGCCCATGTACGGAGGAGTGAATACCGTCCCTCCGGCACCAGAGGAAATCCTGCAGAAACCAGCACGGTCTGAACGCCACAAATACATTTGGAAAAGATCAAGACGATTCATTTGGAAGGGTCTGGTGAACGCGGCTCGCAGAATTTTTTTCTGTCGTCAGAGCTGTTTGATGGACATGGAATAAGATTCCAAAATGGTTGAGGCCGAGTTACCTGCAGTCAGCCGCCGATCAACCTGCAGTTTTTTGGGGTATTTACCAAAAGCGCCGTTTGCTATGTTTGCCGGAATATATTCGTCGGGGGACCTATCGATTCCGCCAATGTAGCATCGATTCCGCCAGTTCAGGTATTCTAAAAACAACCTATCGATTCCGCCACCCACCAATTTTTACCTCAACCTGCTGCAGCTGTCTATACCTAGATATTTCTGGTATGATAATAATATATCTACAAAATAATTCAACAATTAATTTAAATATTAAAAATAAATTAATAATGAATACAATACAATATTAAATATCCAAAAAAATACAAATAAAATTTGATAATATTTTTATCATGTGTACCTACATTATATACATATCACATATATGATGTTGTCAAATGTCAAAAGTTGTACAATATTATTACACATTAATCATACATACCTACACAAAACAAATATAGTTTTAAGTTGTGCAGCATTATTTTTTATAATGTGATGATGCCAAACTAATGAAATGCAAATGATTAATTTTTTTAGCTTCATAATTTATTAATAAATCTACCATTACAATTAACAATTTACTATAATATAGGTAATTGTCGTAGAGGAGATTTATTTTATCCCTGGCGGAATCGATAGGTTGTCTTAAGTCTTTAGACTACCTGTACTGGCGGAATCGATGGTGGCGGAATCGATATACCTTATCCCCTAGTATAAAAAGGTCTGGCGGAATCGATGAAACCCTATTCGTCGGACTTCGTTCATGTTCGTCGAACCCTTAAGTTCGCCTACTCGCGTATTGTTAAGCCGTCGTATTTCGAGTATTCGTTTCCGTTACGTTTTTGGTTGCTGAGGATGTGAATAGCCAATAACCTCAGTTACGTGTGCCTCACGGTGACATTCTGATAAGTCCGCTGTCTCCTTTTCCAGCGACGAATAGACAGAGCAAGTATCTGATCTCCTTGCCGTTATATTATAATATTGTTTTTGGTATGTGGTAACATGCTAAATGTTGTACTCACCATTTTTTTGTGCATTTATATATTATATATTTTGTGTGTACCTAATATTATTATCTATTATAATAGACTAAGATACTAACATATTGATTTGTTATATATATTTACTATTGTAATGACGTAAAAATACGATAAATATAAAAACGACTCCTTATTTCGATAGTTATATTGAGATCAGATGTTAAAATAGTAAAATTACACTATTACCTTCCTCCAGGGGTTCGGAGGGCTCTCGAGATCGTGTATTCGAGAATTAGATCAAACAAATCGTACAATATAATTGTATGTAAAAAGCACATATTATAATGTAATAACTGCAATCAATAAAAAAATATTATATTAAATGCCTTACCTGTTTATGGATAATGTTGTACGAGTTTTAGGTGACACAAAGTAATACTTAAAATACACAAATTGACAAAAATAGAACTCAGTAATTATGGCTTATCATAAGAAGTACAGTTGTCGCTCGTTGAAATCGGTAATGAGATTTTAAGGGTTTGTTACTCTGTGGCTGGTGCTCATGCACTGGTTTGAGAGACGACACGGATATGCCGACCAGAGAGTGGTGCGCGGTCTTACCAAAGGTTTTTGTATTTCCCCAAACTAGATTTATCTTCAGCGGCAAAGACCTTCTTGTCGGTGACAATGGTTTTATTGGAGATGGCCGATTCCTACGAACGACAGTCTGGCCGTTATTTATTATTCTATAAGATTTTAGTTTATTTATTAAAATGATGTGTGAGCATATCATTACACTGTAGTCATTTTCTCCCTCAACTCTTCGAAAGTCGCAAGTCGTTGCCGCTAACCACAGTATTTGAAGTAGGAGCTGTGTAGAGTCAAAAAATAAGTCAAGTTCTAAGTGTACCTGGCATAATTGTTATTTATTTTTGTTTTATAGTATAGGTACATTTGTGGAGCCGGCAAAGAGATGCCGTCATACGCCACTAAGCAGTAACTTCAAAATACGTAGTTTTGAGGAAACAATAAAAACGTTTTCAACACTAAATTAGTCCATAGAGTAAAAATATAATTTTTTTAAAGATTAAGGAGATGGTATGTTATTTTATTTTTAATAAGAAAACTATTAAACAAAAAAAAATTTTTTATGGGTTTTAATAGAAATAGAAATAGTCAGATAATACGATAATGTTTGATATTCTGATTAAAAGTTAATCTGAAAACATCATAGGAACGAATCACCAGTTATACTTTAGTTTTAAAAAAAAATTAGCTATCTCATAAAATTATAGCATTGAACGGATTAAAATATTATAGATGATGTCTTGTTGAGTAAGCACTCAATTATTAAACTATTGTACTATCGACAATGGTTTTTATATTTATTCGCTCTGTAAACGAATAATAGGTATACTCACGAAATATTATCGTAATCATACCATTAATCAGTGTGTGGGTTAATACCACACAATCTTTGTATTGGATTTAAATGATTTTTTTTATGGACTGTTGTTTAGATTCAAGTGTTACACTTAAAGAGTGTGTGCTATACAATAACTTTAACACACAACACACACGAATTATAATTTCTGAAGTTTAATGTTTTGAACCGTCGCGAAATCATAGTCCGCGTTGGCAGTCGATATCACTGCATCGTTCCTGTGATCGTCTGTACGAAAACATAATTCGGGCGCGATGGGATTTTTAAACATAAACACAGACCTGTTGCCCATAAAGGCGCATTATTTTCTTTTCGACGCAGGTGGGTATTGTATTCATAAATTGCGCGGGTAATTCATATTTTATTCCTTTTAACTTAGTTTTGATTTGAAACAGCGTTGGGTAATGCAGACATTAACTGCGAGTCGCGAGAGCTTAAATATAATATTATTATAGAGAGAAATATGTCTCGTGTGGGGGTAATCTTACACCACATCTTCGGTATATTATTTCTCGCGCTTCAAATTGTCACCGATTTACAACCATATTGGTATGTACTCGTTCTGGATGCTGTCTACACTTAAAATATTATCTATGGTAAAATTATGTTGGTTTAGTATGCTGTCTACTAGAAAAGTATAATACCTTTACGTTAACGTCATAATATATTTTTACAGTAGGTACTTGCTGTAATAGATAAAAACTCCGTTTTTCAATTTGAAATTGAAATTTAATCTTTATCTTACAAATTATATTATACGATTATTTGAAATAAAATAAAAATTGGAATTTAATGTTGCCTGTAGGAAGTCTTCTTATTTCAGATAAAAAAAATAGTTAACAATATCCAACAATTCTACACTTATCAACCCCCCCCCTCAATCTAAATATAAATGTGGCAGTAGATTAGTGGAAAAGTAATATAATTAAAGTGGCAACTAAAATATAAAATATAATTTTCAAATTTTATAGAATTGTGGAAAATTTGAAAAACTGGCCCTGGGCCCCTATTAATTATGATTACATATTATATACCGTCTCTTTCAGTCTCATCCGGTTTGATACGGAACACCCTATTAATCATTATTGCTGTTATTTATATTTTTAGAATCTTAGCTGTAACTTATACTTTGTAAACAACCATTATCGTAACATAGACGTAAAAATGTTGTGCCAACATTATATATAATATGTACAAATAGTTAGTATTGTTTCTGTGGATTTTAATGCATTAAAAATTCTTAAAATCTGGAAAAATGCACTAAAAACCCTCATAAACTCATTAAAATAAAAAAATGCCGTATAAAATGCACTGTATTTCATATTATTAATAATAATTTAAATAATATAAAATTCTATAACGTGTAATATATTTTAAATTATTAAAAATATCGAATAAAGTACCTAATAAACAATGATCGAAAAACATGTAATAAATAAAAAACGTAAAAATAAATAAAAAAGACATACATTTCAAAATAAAAGTTACAACATTGAATCCATTAGTACTAATAGTACTTATAATTTATAACTAAAACTTTATAGCTCTGTGTTACATTCATAGTAATCTTAAATTAATGCATTTTTCTACAAAAACAAATACTGTCCTAGTTATAATAATATACCTATCCTTAATATCAATGTAATAGTTATAAAACTGTATAGTATAATAATAACTATTTCATTAATAAATTAAACACATAAATATACCATAAGACGTATAATTAAAGGGGAATTATTTTGATTTTTGCAACATTTCACCCGCATGTCGACCGTTTTTTTTTTTAATTGCCATAAAACCAAAATGGAAAACTTGATTACTTTAAAGCGCGACGAAAGCATTCGTTTTAAATCGGCAATAATATTCGTATTGCACTCGCGTATGCATCGGTTTTCCCAGGAAATTCGCCCATCAACCCATTCCTGTCGACGATCGCCAAGGAGAGAGGATACTCGCCGTCGGTGGTCGGTAACATCTTCACGTGGTTGTTGCTGCTGAACATCGTAGTCAAACCTCTGACCGGATACGTCACCGACAGATGGAAGTGCCGACGTTCCGTGTTTCTGGGTGCGATCCTCCTCAACGGTATTGTAACTCCCACGCTGTACCTCGTGCCTGGCGCTAAATCTTTGGTGGGCGAGATGTCCGACGCCGAAGCCTTTGGATCGCTGCAGTTCTGGTGGTTCTCTGCCATCATCGTGCTGAGGATGGTGTTGTTCATGATCGGCGAAGTCTTGCAGGAGACCATCTGCATGGGAATCCTAGGTCACGATTAATAATAATGCATTATAACATTCATAATTCCAGTTCCGAGGCATCGGGAGTGATTGAGGCCATTTGAGGGGTGGGGAGATATTTTGGTGGCACCGAACTACAAGATTATGTAGTGTTTTTATTTTTTTCTGAGATGTCGACATGTTATTGTAGATTTCAGATGTAATTTGTTATAAAAGGTACATACTATATTTATACAACTATAGATATTTAAAATATTTGGTGATATAAAGATATTTACGTAATTTTTTACTATAAATATTCAAACACAAGCCTATCACTTTTTAATTAAAACTATTATTTATTCTTGGGTGTTCACATATTTTGAAGTCATGTAAGTATGTTTTTAAGGAAAACATTTTTATATTGTTATTTATTATTAAGAAATAGAAAATACATTATTGTCACACAAATTTCAAAAGCATACTTATACTATTTTTTATTCAGTCTGATCAAAAACCTCGTTCATTTTTTAAGGTAATTTAGTCGAGTTTTTTGGCTTTATTTTCATAGATTTCGTTACCAGTATTTTTTTAATCCGTGGATTTTTTTTTTCCCGGTGTTAACATATAATTTATTTCGGCAATGTGTTTAATGCAATATCATATTATCATATATTTAAATTATAATATATATTATCGTTATTATTTTGAATAAAGTGTACCCGTAGTAAATACACAAGAGATATTATATAATTGATATTTTTTTTTCTAGGTGGAGACACCATTAAGTTTGGAATGCAACGACTCTGGGGTGCAGCTGGATGGGGTGTCATGTCGTTGGTGGCGGGGGGTGCTATTGACTGGTACAGCAGTGGACTATCACAAAAGGACCATTTGCCTGGATATTTGCTATCGTCGGCCTCGTTTCTAGTAGATTTCATAGTGGCTTTAAACTTAAAGGTACGACCAAGTATTATCTAATATCTCACAACAAAACAGTTACATTTATTACATAATTCTAGACAGTCTCAAACGTCGAGATATATAATTCCAAATTGAATGATAGTGTCTTGATCAATACTGATCATTACTAAGTATAGACTATAGTTGTAATAGTTTGAACTCACAAGTATAATCATTTTTTATCCTGAAATGTAACCTCATTATAATATAACAGAAAATAGTCACGAGTCTCTCGTAGTACACTGTATGAACATAAGACATTAAGACGTATAATGTGTATCCCACTTGGGATGAAGCTAGTATAAAACAATATAAAATGTTTTTAATCATAACAGGGTGTGTAATAAAGTTTTTTTTTTCTAAATTTACTCATAACATATCATATTTTTATTTCATAAAATTGGTATATATACAAATTATAAATATTTTGAATTTTTGTATCATCACGCGGGAGTGTAAAATTGTTTATATTAGGTGTTTAAGATTTTAGATATCGATTCAGCTGATTGTCTACCCCCACCCCCGTTTGGGTTCAATGTATCATCAGAAATTATTATTTATAGCTAGGGCATGGATTTAAATATAAATTGCATTTTTTTTATGAATTTTCTAAAACAATGCTTTCAAAGCAAAACATTAGTTTCATATCTCGACGAATTGAAAAATTAAATTTTTATTTAGTATATTTTTAAAACTTGATTTTTTGAGTTTTTAACAAATGTTTATTGTCTGACTGCATTTTTTGTAAATTGTATAAGAATAAATCTAGACCTTAGGTCAAGATCGTCAATCTCCCTTTTTGGGGTAAATGAGATGCAGGGCTTAACCGCTTGACATATACATAATTTGAATATGTTTAGCTCTTTATATTAAGCCCTTTTATTTCACCAAAAAGTGAGATTGGCGCTTCTTGACCTAAGGTCCAGAAATACAATTTTATAAATATTTAGCTTCAATTCCTTCAAAAAAAAAAAAAATTATGTAATATTTTTTTCTAATATTTCTATTTATATTCTTTATATCTTAATCATAATATATCTACGTCTAGCCAACGAGTAAGTATAATAATATTACTTATTAGGTACCTAATCCTTAATACCCCTTATTAATTAATAAAAGTGAATTTATTTACTAATTTTTTATTTTATTGTAGTGTGTTGTTTAGTCAATTAAAAGTGATATAATTAGTGTCAAGGATTTAAGATCCAACTTCAAAACTAATACAGATAGTTTAAACCGTCATTGAGGAACACTTTTGGCAAAAAAAAATTTCAAATATTGTAATTATATTGGTGCAACGGGTTGAAAACGGTTTTAAAACGACGTTTCTGTTACTTAGATTATTTTGTAGAAGGTGCTTATTTTTTCTGTTGCAAATTGGCGCAACTATATATTTAAATTGTTGTCTAAATGTTGATGCAAAAAAAATTCGGAAAATGTTACTTTTTACTTACATAAGTGTGAGCGACATACCTGTTGAAGGCTTTTTTACTACAAATTTAATTTGTTACATTTTTTGATTGAAGGATTTAAGATCCAACTTCAAAACTAATACAGATAGTTTAAACCGTCATTGAGGAACACTTTTGGCAAAAAATAATTTCAAATATTGTAATTATATTGGTGCAACGGGTTGAAAACGGTTTTAAAACGACGTTTCTGTTACTTAGATTATTTTGTAGAAGGTGCTTATTTTTTCTCTTGCAAATTGGCGCAACTATATATTTAAATAGCCGTCTAAACGTTGATGCAAAAAAAATTCGGAAAATGTTACTTTTTACTTACATAGGTGTGGGCGACATACCTGTTGAAGGCTTTTTTACTACAAATTTAATTTGTTATATTTTTTGATTGAAGGATTTAAGATCTAACTTCAAAACTAATACAGATAGTTTAAACCGTCATTGAGGAACACTTTTGGCAAAAAAAATTTCAAATATTGTAATTATAGTGGGGCAACGGATTGAAAACGGTTTTAAAACGACGTTTCTGTTACTTAGATTATTTTGTAGAAGGTGCTTATTTTTTCTCTTGCAAATTGGCGCAACTATATATTTAAATAGCCGTCTAAACGTTGATGCAAAAAAAATTCGGAAAATGTTACTTTTTACTTACATAGGTGTGGGCGACATACCTGTTGAAGGCTTTTTTACTACAAATTTAATTTGTTATATTTTTTGATTGAAGGATTTAAGATCCAACTTCAAAACTAATACAGATAGTTTAAACCGTCATTGAGGAACACTTTTGGCAAAAAAAATTTCAAATATTGTAATTATATTGGTGCAACGGGTTGAAAACGGTTTTAAAACGACGTTTCTGTTACATAAATTATTTTGTAGAAGGAGCTTATTTTTTCTGTTGCAAATTGGCGCAACTATATATTTAAATTGTTGTCTAAATGTTGATGCAAAAAAAATTCGGAAAATGTTACTTTTTACTTACATAGGTGTGAGCGACATACCTGTTGAAGGCTTTTTTACTACAAATTTAATTTGTTACATTTTTTGATTGAAGGATTTAAGATCCAACTTCAAAACTAATACAGATAGTTTAAACCGTCATTGAGAACACTTTTGGCAAAAAATAATTTCAAATATTGTAATTATATTGGTGCAACGGGTTGAAAACGGTTTTAAAACGACGTTTCTGTTACTTAGATTATTTTGTAGAAGGTGCTTATTTTTTCTGTTGCAAATTGGCGCAACTATATATTTAAATTGTTGTCTAAATGTTGATGCAAAAAAAATTCGGAAAATGTTACTTTTTACTTACATAGGTGTGGGCGACATACCTGTTGAAGGCTTTTTTACTACAAATTTAATTTGTTATATTTTTTGATTGAAGGATTTAAGATCCAACTTCAAAACTAATACAGATAGTTTAAACCGTCATTGAGGAACACTTTTGGCAAAAAATAATTTCAAATATTGTAATTATATTGGTGCAACGGGTTGAAAACGGTTTTAAAACGACGTTTCTGTTACTTAGATTATTTTGTAGAAGGTGCTTATTTTTTCTCTTGCAAATTGGCGCAACTATATATTTAAATAGCCGTCTAAACGTTGATGCAAAAAAAATTCGGAAAATGTTACTTTTTACTTACATAGGTGTGGGCGACATACCTGTTGAAGGCTTTTTTACTACAAATTTAATTTGTTATATTTTTTGATTGAAGGATTTAAGATCTAACTTCAAAACTAATACAGATAGTTTAAACCGTCATTGAGGAACACTTTTGGCAAAAAAAATTTCAAATATTGTAATTATAGTGGGGCAACGGATTGAAAACGGTTTTAAAACGACGTTTCTGTTACTTAGATTATTTTGTAGAAGGTGCTTATTTTTTCTCTTGCAAATTGGCGCAACTATATATTTAAATAGCCGTCTAAACGTTGATGCAAAAAAAATTCGGAAAATGTTACTTTTTACTTACATAGGTGTGGGCGACATACCTGTTAAAGGCTTTTTTACTACAAATTTAATTTGTTATATTTTTTGATTGAAGGATTTAAGATCCAACTTCAAAACTAATACAGATAGTTTAAACCGTCATTGAGGAACACTTTTGGCAAAAAAAAATTTCAAATATTGTAATTATAGTGGGGCAACGGATTGAAAACGGTTTTAAAACGACGTTTCTGTTACTTAGATTATTTTGTAGAAGGTGCTTATTTTTTCTCTTGCAAATTGGCGCAACTATATATTTAAATAGCCGTCTAAGCGTTGATGCGAAAAAAATTCGGAAAATGTTACTTTTTACTTACATAGGTGTGGGCGACATACCTGTTGAAGGCTTTTTTACTACAAATTTAATTTGTTATATTTTTTGATTGAAGGATTTAAGATCCAACTTCAAAACTAATACAGATAGTTTAAACCGTCATTGAGGAACACTTTTGGCAAAAAAAATTTCAAATATTGTAATTATATTGGTGCAACGGGTTGAAAACGGTTTTAAAACGACGTTTCTGTTACATAAATTATTTTGTAGAAGGAGCTTATTTTTTCTGTTGCAAATTGGCGCAACTATATATTTAAATTGTTGTCTAAATGTTGATGCAAAAAAAATTCGGAAAATGTTACTTTTTACTTACATAGGTGTGAGCGACATACCTGTTGAAGGCTTTTTTACTACAAATTTAATTTGTTACATTTTTTGATTGAAGCATTTAAGATCCAACTGCAAAACTAATACAGATAGTTTAAACCGTCATTGAGGAACACTTTTGGCAAAAAAAATTTCAAATATTGTAATTATATTGGTGCAACGGGTTGAAAACGGTTTTAAAACGACGTTTCTGTTACATAAATTATTTTGTAGAAGGAGCTTATTTTTTCTGTTGCAAATTGGCGCAACTATATATTTAAATTGTTGTCTAAATGTTGATGCAAAAAAAATTCGGAAAATGTTACTTTTTACTTACATAGGTGTGAGCGACATACCTGTTGAAGGCTTTTTTACTACAAATTTAATTTGTTACATTTTTTGATTGAAGGATTTAAGATCCAACTTCAAAACTAATACAGATAGTTTAAACCGTCATTGAGGAACACTTTTGGAAAAAAAAATTTCAAATATTGTAATTATAGTGGGGCAACGGATTGAAAACGGTTTTAAAACGACGTTTCTGTTACTTAGATTATTTTGTAGAAGGTGCTTATTTTTTCTCTTGCAAATTGGCGCAACTATATATTTAAATAGCCGTCTAAACGTTGATGCAAAAAAAATTCGGAAAATGTTACTTTTTACTTACATAGGTGTGAGCGACATACCTGTTGAAGGCTTTTTTACTACAAATTTAATTTGTTACATTTTTTGATTGAAGGATTTAAGATCCAACTGCAAATCTAATACAGATATTTTAAACCGTCATTGAGGAACACTTTTGGCAAAAAAAATTTCAAATATTGTAATTATATTGGTGCAACGGGTTGAAAACGGTTTTAAAACGACGTTTCTGTTACATAAATTATTTTGTAGAAGGAGCTTATTTTTTCTGTTGCAAATTGGCGCAACTATATATTTAAATTGTTGTCTAAATGTTGATGCAAAAAAAATTCGGAAAATGTTACTTTTTACTTACATAGGTGTGAGCGACATACCTGTTGAAGGCTTTTTTACTACAAATTTAATTTGTTACATTTTTTGATTGAAGGATTTAAGATCCAACTTCAAAACTAATACAGATAGTTTAAACCGTCATAGAGGAACACTTTTGGCAAAAAAAAATTTCAAATATTGTAATTATAGTGGGGCAACGGATTGAAAACGGTTTTAAAACGACGTTTCTGTTACTTAGATTATTTTGTAGAAGGTGCTTATTTTTTCTCTTGCAAATTGGCGCAACTATATATTTAAATTGTTGTCTAAATGTTGATGCAAAAAAAATTCGGAAAATGTTACTTTTTACTTACATAGGTGTGAGCGACATACCTGTTGAAGGCTTTTTTACTACAAATTTAATTTGTTACATTTTTTGATTGAAGGATTTAAGATCCAACTTCAAAACTAATACAGATAGTTTAAACCGTCATTGAGGAACACTTTTGGCAAAAAAAAATTTCAAATATTGTAATTATATTGGTGCAACGGGTTGAAAACGGTTTTTTTTTGTATCTGTGTACACGATAGGTAGTCGAAATAATGCTTAGATTTTCAACTTCAGTATCTTGTTCGATTGGAAAGTGAATCTAGTTGGTGCATTCGGGAGGTAAAATTTTAAAATTCCCAATAGTTTTCACAAGCGCCGGGATTAAACACATAAAAATTAAGGAATAACGGAAATTTTTACTCAAAATCTGTTTTCCAAAAAATCGATTTTGGTTTTTGGTGTAACTCTAAAAAAAATGAACTTAAATACATGAAATTTTCACTGGTTGCTTATATTTTCATTTTCTATACACAATAAAATTTTTAAAATATTATGATTTGTTTTGAACTGTTTAGGGACATTTTCATTTTCCATTTTTTTTTTAGTTTTTATTCTAAAAATATCAATAAAATTTTATTTGTTAGCTTAGAAAGCTTGAAAATGTATTATAAGGCTCCTAGAGTATATTGTTTAAAGGCAGATGAAAAATATTAAAAATAGTTAGTCACAATTTTCTTTTATAAGCATTTAACCGAAGTGCCTTCGCTGGTTGGTTCTTCCCTCAAGATATTCAAGCTCATAAATTATAATTTTAAAAATAACCATCATTTATGCTTATTGTAGTTTTTTTTTATGTACAGATTGTATAGTTTCTAGATTAAAAATAAAAAAAAAAAAAAAAAAAAAAAATAAGCATTTAAAGTTCAAAAATTGACAAAATATGGAAAAATCACGAAATATAGAAAATTATTTTGAGTTAAGAATTCGTAAAAGTTTTTCTTTTTAAATCTAAGATTTGAAAATGTAATACAAGATTACTCATAAGTTTGTCTACCTTTATCAATAAAAAAATCTCTACCGGAAAGTTAAATTAAATTTTTATGAGAGTTTGAAATTCAAATTTTTACAACATTGGATATTCACTCGATTTCTCATGTAGCGATTTCCTTATTTTGTTGTAATTCAAAAACAAATAACTGTAGATAAATGAAAATTTCACTGAATGTTCATATTAGCATTTCCTATACAATGTACAATTTTGAAAATAATTGTTTTTCTTATACAATGATATTATATATAATTATAAATTCAAATTTAATACCATCCATTACAGCGACCCCCACTTGTAAGTTGTAACCTAATGTACAGCAGGTTAGGTATACAGCAAAAATATTTTGACACTTTTTGAGCCGTTTACGGACATTTTCAGTTTTCAATTTTTTTAGTTTTTTTTTTCTATAAATATCAATTAAGTTTTATCTGTTGAGCCAAAAAGTGTAAAAATTTAATACAAGGCTCCTGATATATTGTTACAATATTAGTTGAAAAATATTAAAAATACATAGGCACAATTTTTTTTTATAAGCATTTTAACATCGAATTTTGATAGAATTTTTCAAAATCTCGAAAATTATTAATCATCGTAATTAATAAATTATAAAATGTTCAGTTTTTATGGCTAAGGATTGAAAATTTAAAACAAGATTCCACGTAAGTAGTTAATTCTCTTACCGAAAAATCTAAAAAATATACAATCACAGTTTACTTTTATAGTCATTTTATGTTCAAATTTGGACGAAATTACATATTAAAAAACCTAGTTATTTTGTTGTGATTATATAATATTATTCGTGGGTACCTACTTGAAACTTCTAAAGTGTACTATTATATATAAATGATAGTATCAGGGTTTGTTGTTGGTGTATAACGTGTTATAAGTACCTAATGGATATTGTGATATGATTAATTTGGAATTTATTTTAGGTCAATTTTTTTTTTAATACCATAGATATGTATATAATTTGTCTTAAACCTAGACTGATATACCGTCTTCGCTCAGAATCGTTTTTCTTATACAATGATATTGAATCATTGAATTCAAATTTAATAGCATCCATTATACAGTGACCCACTTGTAACCTACTGTACAGCAGAGCGACATCCACTTACCCACCTTTTTTCAGTTGTTTACCGTACTAGGACCCACCACACAGAAAACTAATGGAACTGATCTAGTTATTGGACTTCCGTTAGTGTACGAATTACTGGAGTCAAAAGAAGAAGCAGTGTATTCCAAAGTATATGAAGTTATACTTTCAGAGGCACACAAATTTGGAATAAATATTGGAAGACCACGATTTGTGATGACGGATTATTTTTAAATAAACATATAAATACTAAAATAATAAAATAATATAATATAAATATTTAACGTAGATAAATTACATTCGTGGGAGACAAGCTAAAAGTCTTAGAAAAGGAACTGAACCCAGATTCCCTCCAACATTGTGGAACCAGTACCATGCAGTACTACAACGATTGGAAAGAACTAATAATTTGTCAGAAGGCTGGCATAATCGGTTCCAAGTGGTTGTCGAACGACAACATCCAAGCGTCTATACATTTTACACTAAACTTGGCAAAGAACAAGCCGACACTGAGTGCATGTTACGACAACTAAATCTGGGACAAAAATAAGAAAGGGTCGTAATATGGTACGACTAAAAGTAGAGGAACGAATACATAATATTGTTTCAAAGTATGACGAATTTGTTAATAACAATGATATTATTGCATATCTCACGGCCATTGGTCATAATTTAAAATTTTAATACAGTTTTGTTTCTTTATTTTAAAATTAACAATTTGTTAATTATTTGTATAATAATTAATAATTTAATAATTTTAACTACTTTTTTAATAATAGGTACATGCTTATACATTTTCAAATTAACAATAAATATTTTCTTATATTTGGTAAGATCGTATAATGATAGATTTGATATTGTGAAAAATAACTTTTGGGAAAAATGGTATTGAGAAAAAGAACTTTTGGGAAAAAAAAAATGTGAACAACAGATTGGGAATAGTGTCAACTTACCGAAAATGTCATATTATGTATCTGCAGATAGCCATTTTTGAATAACAACAAAATTGAAAATATAAGAAAAACGCTACATGAGAAATCGAGTGAATATAATATATTGTGAAAATATGAACTTCAACCGGTCATGAAAAATTAAATTGAGTTAATTGTGCATTTTTTTTTTTTTTTTAAAGGTAGACAAACTAATAAGGTTTATGGACTTTTAATACTTTAAAAAAGTCATTAAAACAATTTTTTAGGAGTCTTGTGTTATATTTTGAAGTTTATACACCCAACAAATTTGAACCGCTATTTAGATATATAAAAGTGTTAATCAATGACGGTTTAAACTATCTGTATTAGTTTTGAAGTTGGATCTTAAATCCTTCAATCAAAAAATATAACAAATTAATTTTTAGTAAAAAAGCCTTCAACAGGTATGTCGCCCACACCTATGTAAGTAAAAAGTAACATTTTCCGAATTTTTTTTGCATCAACGTTTAGACGGCTATTTAAATATATAGTTGCGCCAATTTGCAACAGAAAAAATAAGCTCCTTCTACAAATTAATCTAAGTAACAGAAACGTCGTTTTAAAACCGTTTTCAACCCGTTGCCCCACTATAATTACAATATTTGAAATTTTTTTTTGCCAAAAGTGTTCCTCAATGACGGTTTAAACTATCTGTATTAGTTTTGAAGTTGGATCTTAAATCCTTCAATCGAAAAATATAACAAATATTACACATTTTTCAGTTGTTCACCATTGGTAGTTTAAAATGAAAACTAAAAGAACGGGTGGTGCTGAGAAAATCAGAGAAAGATAAAAAGGAAACTCTTAGAAAGATCAAAAAAGATCGACCTATATGTTTTACGGATAATTACGCGATGCCCACAAATTGATTTCCGTTTGTAGCGCTTGTACATAATTTTCGTTGTTTTTGATATAATATAGGTACCCGAAACCGATGGACCGACAACAAACATACTCGGGGACGTGAAAGTAGTGTTGAAAAACACTAAAGTATGCGTTTTCCTTGTTTGGGCAACGATCGGTGGAATCTTCACGGCTTACATTTGGTTTTATTTTATCTGGTAAATATGTGCATACATTAACATAATATTATATAATTATTAAAACATTTTAAATTTTAATCGAATCAAAGTGCTGCATGCGTAACCATCCACTTTAATCTATATGTTATATGCTATAGCACGTGAATAAGTGTTATGCAATGATTATGAGGAAGTTAGGTTTATTATATATTTATACATTAGTTATCTAGGTTTCAAAAGTTAATCGTTTCAGTTACGTAAATACTTAGTAGGTACTATATCATACATTTATTTTACAACAGAATGTGCAGCGGAATAATAAGTACAGATAACAAAATATATTACATTACTCATATAAGAAAAAGTAAATATAAAAATTAAAATTTTCACCAAACAAATATGCATTGAAAACAATTCAAATAATTAGAAATGACAAATCTCCAATGTCAATTCGCTAATTCGCATCATCCTATTCTGTACTGTTTGAGAGAAATAATATAAAACTTTTGAGGTACTCGCTACAAAGTATAATAACCAGTGGCGTACTTAGGACGGGGTTACCGGGGCCCAAAAGGTATGACCAAATTGGGGGGCCACAGGACTTTTATCATTACATTTTAAAAAATACTGAACATTTTTTTTAAATTTAAATTATATTTATGTTGAATATAATTTGATTTGAAACACTAAAAAAATGTACAGTTGTGGTGTTTATTATCTCGTATATTATTCAATTATATACTTAATTTGTATTTCAAACTGGCGGTTAGTTATAAAAATAAATTAGGTATATTATAAAATTAATGCTTGTATGCAGTAATATTGCAGCACAGCTATTATAAGAGTATTATTTCTAAGGCAGCTCTATAATCTATTGATGAAAATATTGTGATTTGTGCATCGTACTTCGTCGTCTCGACGTCTCCTCAGTCCTTACAATCCTTAATCTATACACGTTCCGGTTTTCTGGAAAGGCCGGACTGCGCAGCTCAACCTGCACAATGTTACCAGATTTCCGACGACGACGACGCGTCTCCATACACGCTTCGGTTTATCGGAGAGGTTGGGCTGCACAAAATCGTTTTTCGATTCTTTTCCGACCGGCCTGTACAGTCCCCGAAAACTGCGCAAACTTGTCACACACACGCAAGGCCGGATTAAGAACCTATTGGGCCCCGTGGCTGAAATTTCATATGGGCCCTTTTGACAAAACATTCTTTAAAAAGCCGCTCGCTACTCTTGCAGAAACATACATTTTCCTAAGTATTTCACAAATTGACAATTGCATTATAAAATTATAAAATTAATAGTTACATGTAATTTATGCCTAGAAAACTACTAAGTTTATTGTAGTAGGTATAATAAAAGTTAATACTTCATATTTCATTAATTTAAATTCAAATTGTCATAATAACTTTCAAATTTATTAACAGTATACTCATTTACAACAAATATCAAACAAAAGTTAATATATAAAACAAAAACTATTTTATCAGATAAATTGTTTTTCTTGCTTTACTAGAAGCCAACTCTCTTAGTAGTCATTTAAGTCTAATGATTTTAACGAATCATTCTCAGAATGTAAAATCTTATGTAATTTGAAATTAAAATTGTATGTCTAAGTTTTCTTGGGTTTGACTAGTTATATAGGTACTTAGTTTTTACTTTATTAAATTTAGAAAAAGATCTCTCCGTACATAAATAACATTATTAACTATTGATAATATTATTGATATCAATTAAAATACAAATAACAGTAAAATGCAACTTTTTTGCCATAGTGCTTTAGAAGGTATTTACTATTTAGTTGTTTTTGTAGATAAAATAAAATGGTTTTTAAAATATAGAAAAACTTTTCTTTAAAATCACTCAAAAATGTTTATCAGGTTAAAACTGTTTGGGCCCCTTTCATTTTGGCACTTGAGATAGCCCCGGGGCTTCCGCCCTTGCTAGACCCCCTCAATCCGGCCTTTTCACACACGTTCCGGAATAAGTAATGACTGTGCTGTACGCCTGTACTGCTGTCCTATAGAATCACTATTAAATAATTAATATTTTTATTATGATTTAATTTCCATGATAAGAGGCCCGGTGCCGGTTTTTAAAAATTATAAAATTTGGTTGGTTCTACAGAACAGTATCATTATTCCCGTAGACAGTATTTTTGTGGATATAATTATATTGGCACCGAGCTCCTTAAATAGGGCCTCTGTCTCTTATTTTCCTAGGGCCAACAAGTTTCTCGCTACGCCACTAAGAGTATATCAAAATTAATATTTTTAATACTATATGTAAATATGTACATTATACAATATTGAATATGGTAGGTATAAACACGTGTGTATTAAATACATTTACAATTTTAAACCTCCACAGTTAAAAATACCGGGGTTAGAGGCGTAGATCAGTAATAAAAAATTCTTCATAAATATAATTTGAAATAACTATGCAATAAAATATGGTTAAAATTTAAATTTTTTTTTCAATTGCCTTAATTATCCATGAGACTGTTGAATAATATTGGAAATTAAAATAAAACAGCATTGGTCAATTTTAAAATAATTAAAATGACACTATACATTTATCTAAGGTCATAAAAAGTAAGCCAAAGTTAAAGATACAAAAATAAAAATGGTGCTTTACTCAACACATCGTTTCTTAAAAACAAATATCTTAAGATTATCTAAATTAGTGCAATTTAATTGAATTCTATTTTATAGGTATGTCGATGATTTGGCCACAATTTATCACCCTGAACGGAAATCGATCTTAAGCTCAATTGAAGGATTTTCTCTTACTATTGAGTGTTTAGGTGGGGAAGTTCCATTTTTCTATTTATCTGGTAAGTATACACTAGTTTAGCCATAATCCACATTATTAAAATTTATGGAACATACCTACTCCAATGTAAAATACGTAACTTTTAGTAAGGTTTATTAAAATTGCCAACCAACGAAAAAAATTATATTCTATAACTAGGATATAATTAATGTACTAACTATAATTAGTACATTAATTAGTTTTGTATATAGAATGAAAAATAAATAATTAGGTATTATTTATTTTTTTGTAATAATAATGATAATATTATTCTGTAGTTCAATTTTACTTCTTTAACACAAAAGATGTTATTTAAAGAAAATATACTGAATAATCCATATTGAGTATACATCGATGAATGACACAATATGTAAACATAAAAACCAAAAGACTTGTAGTTTTCTTTTCATCCTTTTACATTTCAGGATACCTGATCAAGCGTACGGGTCATATGACGGCTTTTTCGATATCATTCGCCATGTTCGCACTGCGATTTCTCTTGTATTCGATCATCCGAGACCCACTGTGGGTACTGCCTGTAGAGTTATTAAATGGTATCACGTTTGGATTAAGCTACATTGCTGGAATATCATATTCTGCCAAAATTGCCCCTGTCGGTAGCGAAGGTACAGTCCAAGGATTGTTTTCGATGGCGTTCCAAGGATTCGGTTCGTCACTTAATTCTATATTCAAGATCTAATTACCTATACAAGGTGATCTTAGTGCCTTACATTATTTCGAAAAGTAATAATGAATGAAATTGAACATGTATGTTGTTCTTAGATCATATCATATCTAATAAGTCGTCATTCAAAAAAAGTAAACAAACTTTAAAATGATAACAATAAATTTAAAAAAAATGCTTTTTGCAATAACTTCATGCAATGAATTATGTAAGAAATAATATTTTCAAAAAACTTTTGGAAATAATGAGCGAAGACACAGCAAAGGATCATCTTAAAATATTATATTTATAATGTATTGATATCAAATGTATTTCTTTTGCAGGAGGTTCTTTGGGTGCATCATTAGCCGGTTACACATTTAGCCGTTTAGGCAGCGTAATGGCTTTTCGACTTATCGGTTTCATCGCACTTATAATGTGTGTCATTCAAATAGTCGTAAACTACTTTATAAATAAGAATAAGAAATTAATTGCATAAATAAGAGAATAAAAACATAAATATAGAACAAGTATAATATTTATCATATATAAGTAGACTTCAAATTTAAGAGGATCTAAAAGTACCATACTGCAGTGTAAACATTAATGTTAAAGTGTGTTAAAGAGGCTGCAGCCGATGAAAAAAAAGTGACTTTTAGATCAATAAGCTAGACAAAACTGGAAGAATTTGGTTTGACAGATTTTAATTTTGTAAACGGATTATGATTGATCAATAAGTTTACTAGGTAATGATGGAGGCGATTTTGAATATTATTTTTTTTCAGCTATGATATCCAAAAATAAAAATATGATATTATTTATTTATATTATTCATTATGACACTAACAATAATAATTGGAATATTAAAAATCTCCTCGATCATTCTCTAGTAAACTTGTTGATCAATCATAATCCGTTTTCAAAATTAAAATCTGTCAAACCAAATTCTTCCAGTTTTGTCTAGCTTATAGGTCTAATTGACTGGAGCCTCCTCCAGAACCCTTAAGGTTTATTTTATGATATGGAATTTAAATATATTGAAAAACATTATAACAAACAAAATGAATGTTTAGATTGGTCAAATCTACATTAGTTTTGACTTTTGACAAAACCGGCTGCAGCCGCCCTAATAACTTAATATTACCTATTAATATATAAACATTATTATACATTTATATTTTATACCTATAATCAGTGTGTATATTTTATATTATATGTATATACTATATATTTATAAATGCTATGGGGTATAGGAGGGTTGGTTTTATTTTCGACCCCCCTCCCCCCTTGAACAGCATGTATAACCGCCACTGCCATACACAATCTTTATTTCATACCTATTATATACACTGTCTGATATTTGCGAACTATATGATGCAAGGCCGTCACTGTGACATTTTAGATTCTGAGCAGAAATAAAGAATGTATTGGTTTTACAATGATGTGTGTTTTTTTTTTTTGTCACTATTTGTCAAATTGTCTCGATAATTTCTTACTTATATGTAGGTATTATCTATCTTTATCCTTCTGTTTTGTGGATTGCCACAGTTTAGTGGGCACCGTCTCCTCAAAGTCGTCACGAGTACATCATTCGTCCACTTCAGCAGCCAACCCAGTCCGGTGCCAAAACATTTATTGTTGAGTACAGAAGAACATATGTTTTGTCACAGATACACCAAAAGTTTAATTTTCGATGCCAGTTGAAACAATGGAAAATTTCCTTTTTCCGTCGAGCGGACAATAAATGTTTTTTAACAGTCGTAGGAAAAATGGAAATCTCCGTTACGCAGTGCCACAGAGGTCGAAAAGGTTACTGTCAAAAAATAACCAGTAGGTGGGTTACTCCCATAGTCCCATGCTGTTCTATATGAAACAATTTGGCTAATCTAGATACTGAGAACAGCAAGAACGGTTCATTATGGATTACCATAATATTAAAAGAGGCGTTTTTGAGATAGCAGAGTCAGTTCTTTTCTTAAAGCGGCTTTTACGCCAACAATTTTGTCTTCGTGGATTTCACGCGGGATAAGATTGTGCTACAATAACGTCACCCACGACTGAAATAAATCACTTGCCGCTCTTGACACGAAATATAATATACTATTACAATATTACATCGAAGTTTTTATTATTAACTAATCGCTTCTTGTGTTTGTAATTTTGTATGCTAACAAAGTTTTGATTTTAACATAATTATTCTGACACAATAACAACCTGTAGAGGTTATAAAGAAATATTTAATTTATTTCTGAAATAATAATCGATATAAAATGAAATAGATATAACACAACGGAACAAAAAAATAATCGATTTTAATTTTGGTGCAAATTACAATTCCTATTTCTTACTACCTGAAGGTGGTACAAATTACGGCTACAACACGTTTGGGCATTTTATCCCAAATTGAGACACGTTTGGGCACAAAATCACAACACGTTTGGGCACTCTATATCCCTAAAAAGATACCACGTTTGGGCACTAAAATGTAAAATGTATATACCTTTGTTTAAAAAGTATATAAAGTATATACATACAAGCATAATATATATGTCAAAGTTGCAGTGATTACGCGTGTATCGGCACTCGTCGCTGCGCTCCTCGGCGCCGTCGCTCCGCTCCGCTGATCGAAAAATATCCCCAGACTTGCTATGCAACACCACCTTAAGTAGGTTACAAGGTAAGTTATGTCGTAGTATATGGGCAGTGATTACACAATTACACATTAAAAAAAAAAAATAGCTGAAAAAAGGGTGCCCAGTAATGTAGAAATATACTTAAATACCAAATTTTAATATTTAAATTTTATTTTTTTCTTAATTATTGTTTATTTTTTACATGATTAATAACCTAACAGTCAATACAAAATATTTTATATAATTAACATATGTACATATTTTATATACTTTTTAAACAAAGGTATATATACATTTTACATTTTAGTGCCCAAACGTGGTATCTTTTTAGGGATATTGAGTGCCCAAACGTTGTGTGGATTTTGAATACTAAACAGGTAAAAATGCCCAAACGTGCTGCACCGAAAAATTACATACCCTTATTTTGGTGCAAATTACAAACACTACTTTGACTACTTGCAGTGGTGCAAATTACATATCTTTAATTTGGTGCAAATAACAAACTCCCATACTAGATTAGTGGTATACTGGTATAGATTGCCTACCTGATAATAAACTGCTCGATTAATCACAAGCGAATCTCACAAACAACGACGGTCGGAACTCGGAATTCTATAAATTAAAAATATAAGACAATTTACACTTAAAAATTCATTGCTTCCACAGCGTGTTACACCCAAAAGCAGTTGAACAATTACAAAAACCTAGCAATAGCAAAGCATTTCCGTGTCAGCTATAGGTAATATATAAATTAAATGTTTGAACAATTATTATTATTATTATTATTATAAATCATCGAGTTTAACCGCTATAATTGAATATGTTATATTCGAACGGCTGTCAAAAACAACTATATAACCTAAGGAGTACAAAATAGGCAAATTATTTCCTGTATAATCGGATGCAAGACTCCAACACGGCGTGCTGTAGTATGTACTAGTAGTTAAATATGAAAAATCAACTGAACAACATAATTTTGAATTTCTTTAGATTTTCAGAAGACCTGTATTAGAATTATAGAAAAGTTTGAATTTGATTTATTAATTCATTAACTCAGTTGTGGTTAAGTTCGAAAACAATATAATTCGTAACCGCAGTTTGGCACGGACGCATACATTAACATTATACGGTACATAGGTAAGTATCTAAAATTGTGGAAACACGTATATATTTCGTATTTATTTCATCTTAAAACTGCAGTTCGTATTATTGTAGGATTATAAAAAATTATTTTAATAGTCTTGTTTAACAATAATATAACTCGAACCAGGCTTCGGGCGGTATTTTTCTTCTGGTAATCACGGTGTCCAGGGCATGCCCAGGGCAGAAACCTACAGGTGCCCAACATGAAATTCAGGCAGACCTAAAGACCTGTTTCAACCAACCGTTCCAACCGTCCCCCCGACCACAACTATAAAACAACAAAAACAGCTAATGGCCGTGGTAGGCGGAAAAAAAGCCCACGGAAAAAAAGCCCAAAAAAAAAAATACACTGAGGAAAAAAGCCCACGGAAAAAAAGCCCAAGGAAAAAAAGCCCAAAAATATAAATATAAATGTGAACAAAATATTATATATTAATAATACATTACTATACTATAACAAATAATAATCATAAATAATTGTATAAGAGGCATATATAGGTAATTTTATAAAAGAAAATATTAAAATTTCAAATATGACTTATACATAATATATAACTATTGAAAATTTTTAATGTATTTTAATTTAAGAAATATTATTAAGGTATATTATTATATAGAGGGTTTGATACTGCCATGAACTGATGAACCACCTGTCAATAAATTGCATTTTTATTACCCAACTATTGATAAGCACTTTTACATTTAATTTAATTTATATTGTTCGGTACTTACCAATATAATTTATATATATAACCAGTCAAAATGTTAAAATTTATCAATAACTGGGTAATATTGACACTCCATATAGTACTCCATTACTTGGTTATTGAGATACTATCTACCCGTCCTACTAGTACAGTTTTATCCAGTTATACATTTGTTATATATTTTATACTTTTGTTTTACCAATTTTTGTGAATATGGAGATTATCAAATCAAATAAAGGTGGTAACAAAGGTTTTTACAAAGGTTATGTATATGTTGTAAAGTATATTGGCGTATCAAAAATAACCTGGAGGTGTTCTCAGAGGTGTTCAATGAAATGTACTGGAGAATTATACACCGATCTCAAAATTTACAGTATCACACTATACCCAACAAAATATTTATATTATTATTGTATTATTACAGTTGAAAATTGACTGACCTGCTGTGACTATTACTATTATAATTAACAATTAATTATTATTTTCATTATAATATATAATAATATAATAATATATTATTATATTTTGTTCACATTTATATTTGTATTTCTGGGCTTTTTTTCCGTGGGCTTTTTTTCCGCGATTCAATGGCCGTAGTTTGTTGCCGGGCTAAGTGTTCAATAAATAAAAAAAAAAATTTTATATTTAATAGTTGTGCTACTATTGAATAACTGTACATATGTGTACGACTGCTAGACTGCTACACGAGTACACGACTGCTACACTGCATGTTAATTTCAATTCTAAATTGTTCGTATCGCTATGCCGCCACTCTACATTTTCGAGTGCGATATAATCAAAACAATAACAATTTGTCAGTAAGTAGGCACACGAATATTAAAATGGAACCTATGGAACACTATATGATATTACAGTTTACAGCCAGTAATCATATAACCGTATTGGCGGATAATTTAATATTTATCGTTACATCACACTGAAAGCGCTGCCACTTACTGATGATCAATTATCTCTCTGACGACTTACGCCAAGACAATATCTTCCTCTGTTCACATCGGCTGCTCGCCGCGACCGCCGAGTTTTTTTTTCCGTTGCATTATGCTACTATAATACAAATTTGAACTGTAGATTTATTAAAAAAAATCCCATACAATTTTATTTTATTATAATACAATTTAAGAAATACAATCAGTCTTGCTAGAAATGTTTTACAAATTTAATATAAACAAAAAACTGCTGCTCATAAAACTTAGTTTTTTTTTCTACGATTGTGGTAAGTATACGATACGGGGTAATGACGTATACATGAACTTGAAACATTTATTATCAATTACTTATTCATTTATTTTTGTACGCAACAATAATACTATTGATTCAAAACTCATAATTTAATATAATGTGGTCCATAACGTTTGGATATAGCCAGTGATATTTTATTGTTAATTTACCAAACATAATGTAAATATAATAAGTATCTGCAATGCGATATTTTTATTAATCCTATAACGTTATATTAATATATACTCAGGCATAGCACGTTTCCACCAAAAGTGTATGTCTCCATTTCCTACCAATACCCGTTTCTACCAAAATTATATTATTTTGTATAGGTATAATTAATATACATGTATTTTAATATTTTTTCATTTTACACTAATATTTATTTAAGATTGTGGGAAAATTTTCCCGAGAATTAAGAGAAATATTGACGTTGTAAATTGTAAATAGTACCTAATCATAGTATAATGAATAATGATATAATAAATAGTATAATGATACACTGATATTTAACTTTTATTTTTATTTACCCTATTATTTTGTATCCGGTTGAATGCTGATTCGCGGAGATCCTTATTATTGCTTAATTGTTATTTTTACAATATAAAAATTATTTTTATTTTATTTAATGTAAGTAATCTATTTTATTTATTTAAAATGTATAACAATTAACTTTACTGTTGTTTTATTTTTCTGGGAAAATGTTATCAAAATCTAAAATAAACATTTGCATAGTTAAATGAAAATGATATTACATTTATTATTGTTACATAAAGTGTTTTGTTGGAAACTGGTTTTGGAGCTAAGGGAAAAGTAGAATATGTTGTTTTTCGTAACACACGTTATGAAACGGGGACATTGGCATGTCCATTAAAATATCTATAACAAATCTGCAGAATTCACTGGCTTTGAATAATATTATTATAATTATTATTTATTAATAATTGCTGTAATACAGATACAGACTACACAACTCTATACAAAAAAAAAATAGAGATAGATAGACAATATAGAGCTAGACACACAATTTTTTGTTGATTTATTTAAAACAATAATTTCTGAAAACGGATAATTCCCCCTACACAAATTTTACTTTTAATACTATACTTTAATAATCATTACAAAATCTTAAGGACATATACATATTATATAAATAAAACAAGTTACCACTGTAAAATTATATAACAACGTACCTCTTTTTTTTTTATTAATTTTTTTAAAAAAATTACATTGTAGTATAATTATTATTTGTCTTAATTTTTAGATTGACATAATACATTTATCTTTAATTTTTTCTAAAGCTCATCATATTTTTGCGATCAAAAATTTCTTGTGATTTTTTTTTTAATAAAATACTTATATAAACTTTTATTTCAGGAATTGCACCGATAAATCCATTTTTACCAACTATAGCCAAACAGCGAGGAATTCCTGTACTCGTTATCGGTATAATCTTTACGTGTATGCCTATTTTAAATATAGTCGCAAGACCAATAACTGGATACATTACCGACCGTTGGCGTTGTCGCAAACAAGTATTTTTGGGTGCTTCACTGTTGAACGCGTTTTTCACTCCGCTCATACATTTCACGCCCGACTTCAACGACAACGGACATGCCGAAGACTTGGACATCATGAGGCATTGGAAATTTTGGATTTTTGTAGGCACCATTACTGTGAGGATGTTGCTTTGGATGGTAGGAGACGTTCTCCAAGATACGATCTGTTTGGAAATCTTGGGTAAATACTGTAGATATTATACCTACGGTAGATATAATAATATATAGTTATTGCTTACCACGCTATAAGCACTATTAATAGATCATAAAGCCCAATTCAACGATATTATGATTATGTTTCATAACTAAAAACGAAATTTGCTAACACGTTCCAGGTGACGACAAAAAAAGTTACGGAAGACAACGGGTCTGGGGAGCTGTAGGCTGGGGAAGTTCTACACTGTTGATTGGCGCATGCGTGGATTGGTACAGCGTGGACAAAGAGCAAAAAAATTACTTGCCAGCGTATTTGATCGCCATGGCGTTCCTAATCTGTCATTTTATTGTTGCATCTCAGCTAGACGTAAGTCCAAAAATACCTATGAAGCACACGAAAATGTATACAGAAAGATACATCGATACTGTAGTCTATAATATGTACGTCCATTCCATTATATACAGAAAAAATTAAAATAATTTATCGACATTGTGGTTAATGTTTGGAACTATACAACAACTCACAAGTAAAAAAAAGTTATTTAATACCAGTTGTAAATTATAATACTATTCGACCAATGTTGGCTATACTAACTTAAAATCTTCATTTTTGTTTTTTTTTACTATAGGTAATAATAACAATAATTTGATTTGATAGGTAATATTTCGATAGGTAAGTCTTAACATAGCTACATTACTCAATATCTGCTATTCTACTTCAGGGGCGGATCCAGAGTTAGGAAACTGTGGGTCAGGAAATTTCAGGGGGCCACTTATTAAAACCAAATTAGAAATCTATACTTGTGTACTAGGCATATAAAACAAAAAAAAGGTGCTCCGCTGTACAGTAGGTTACAAGTGGGTCACTGTATAATGGATAGTATTAAATTTGAATCCAATGATATAATATCATTGTATAAGAAAAACGATTCTGAACGGAGACGGTAAGTCAGTCTAGGTATAAGGCATATTATTTTCTTATCTATCGTATTAAAAAAAATTTACTTATAATTAATTCCAAATTAATCATATCCCAATATCCATTAGGTACTTATAATGCGTTATACGTCAACAACAAACCCAGATACTATCATAGTCCATACTCCATAGGTATATAATAGTGTACTTTAGAAGTTTCAAGTACCCACGAATAATATTACACAATCACAAAAAAATAACTAAAATAGTTATTCTAGGTTTTTTTTATGTAATTTTATCCAAAGTTGAACTTAAAATGACTATAAAAATAAACTGTGCTTATGTATTTTTGAGATTTTTTGGTAACAGAATTAACTACAATGGTGAAATCATGTTTTAAATTTTCAATCCTTAGATATAAAAGTTGAACATTTTATACATTTTTAACTACAAAATAATTATTCAATTTTAAATTTGATAAATTTTGTCAAAATTCGATCTTTAAATGCTTATAAAAAAAATTGTGCAGCCTATATGTATTTTAATATTTTTCAATTGATATTGTAACAATATATCAGGAGCCTTATATTAAATTTCTACACTTTTTGGCATAACAGATAAAACTTTATTGATATTTATAGAAAAAAAACTAAAAAAATTGAAAACTGAAAATATCCGTAAACAACTCAAAAAGAGTCAAAATATTTTTGCTGTATACCTAACCTGCTGTACATTAGGTTACAACTTACAAGTGGGGGTCGCTGTAATGGATGGTATTAAATTTGAATTTATAATTATATATAATATCATTGTATAAGAAAAACAATTATTTTCAAAATTGTACATTGTATAGGAAATGCTAATATGAACATTCAGTGAAATTTTCATTTATCTACAGTTATTTGTTTTTGAATTACAACAAAATAAGGAAATCGCTACATGAGAAATCGAGTGAATATCCAATGTTGTAAAAATTTGAATTTCAAACTCTCATAAAAATTTAATTTAACTTTCCGGTAGAGATTTTTTTATTGATAAAGGTAGACAAACTTATGAGTAATCTTGTATTACATTTTCAAATCTTAGATTTAAAAAGAAAAACTTTTACGAATTCTTAACTCAAAATAATTTTCTATATTTCGTGATTTTTCCATATTTTGTCAATTTTTGAACTTTAAATGCTTATTTTTTTTTTTTTTTTTTTTTTTTTTTTTTTTTTAATCTAGAAACTATACAATCTGTACATAAAAAAAAACTACAATAAGCATAAATGATGGTTATTTTTAAAATTATAATTTATGAGCTTGAATATCTTGAGGGAAGAACCAACCAGCGAAGGCACTTCGGTTAAATGCTTATAAAAGAAAATTGTGACTAACTATTTTTAATATTTTTCATCTGCCTTTAAACAATATACTCTAGGAGCCTTATAATACATTTTCAAGCTTTCTAAGCTAACAAATAAAATTTTATTGATATTTTTAGAATAAAAACTAAAAAAAAAATGGAAAATGAAAATGTCCCTAAACAGTTCAAAACAAATCATAATATTTTAAAAATTTTATTGTGTATAGAAAATGAAAATATAAGCAACCAGTGAAAATTTCATGTATTTAAGTTCATTTTTTTTAGAGTTACACCAAAAACCAAAATCGATTTTTTGGAAAACAGATTTTGAGTAAAAATTTCCGTTATTCCTTAATTTTTATGTGTTTAATCCCGGCGCTTGTGAAAACTATTGGGAATTTTAAAATTTTACCTCCCGAATGCACCAACTAGATTCACTTTCCAATCGAACAAGATACTGAAGTTGAAAATCTAAGCATTATTTCGACTACCTATCGTGTACACAGACACAAAAATAAATAAAAAAAATTTTTAAAAAAATCACACATTGTAAAATCAATACATTCATCGTTCCACTCAGAATTTAAAATTAATTTATACTATATGTGTGTTTATTTAAGTGTCCAACTACTCAAGATCTGAAAAGAGGCCAATTTGATCAGAAAATATTAACTGTGGGTCAGTTGACCTCCTGAACCCTCCCCTAGATCCGCCCCTGTGCAGAGTACCTATATAAGAATTATAAATTATAAATTATTAACTATCTATATAAGAATTATTAAACAACACTCATAATATCTAACGTATATTTTTTGAATTTCAGTACCTGTGGGCTATGACTTTGATACAACAAAACCAGTTTCTAACATATTATTATTACTATTTATTTTAATAACTTATTTATTTTTTAAACAATTAATCAGTAAAATATATCATCAAGTGACATATAATTGATAACATTTTATACATAACTAACTACAATATATTATTATACCCCAACTATTATCATGTAAATGGAACTGAAAAAGTCAAGTGAAACAAAAAATTGGACTTTAAAAAATATTGGGATTAAAATAATTTATAAATATTAATTTATTTTTCAGAACAAGCAAACTTGTACATCCAAAAACATGACTAAGGATGTCATAAAAATATTATCTGACGTTAAAATTTGTGCATACCTTGTGTGGGCAGTGTTTGCTGGCATTTTCGCCGCGTACATTTGGTTTTATTTATTTCTGTAAATATTTTTCTATTGTTGTAAAATGTTTGTTATAATACACACTTACCATTATCTACTTTTTTATTTCAATAGGTACATTGAAGACTTAGCAAACATTTATCATCAAGAACGATTACCGTGGATTAAGACTATACAAGGTGCTGCGGTGACAGCAGAATGCTGTATTGGGGAAATTCCTATTTATATTATGGCAGGTACCTAAATAAAATATAGTTTTGAATGTATGTATATTAATGAAAATCAATAACCAAATTCTCTCGTTCTAGTTTTAGCTTCAGTTTATGAAAAAGTTTAAAAAATAATTTGATACATTTTAACTACATAGGTAGGTATTTATTAAGCTATATCATAACGTATTCTATCAATACCTAAATTTAGCTATTTAATTTTGTTAACAGCTGGTGTTTTAATAAAACCCAACTAGACAGTTTAAGTATCATCTATCAGTGGTAAAAAAATATTATATTTAATATTTAAATTAATATTATTACTCGTAAATATTGTATTCTTGACGGGTGCATAATAATAAAAGAAAAAACTATTCATAATTTATTTTATCATCAAAACCAGTGTATTTACGTTACAATGCGTTGTACGATACTACATTATTAAATGGATTTTAATTTATTTTTATTGATGAACACAGTAAAGTTAAGTGCATATTAATTAAAATGATATGAACGATTTTCGTTAGAAAAACACTTTAAAATTATAATCATTGTTATTCAACGAGAAAACATAACAGTTTTAATGTAGCTTATCATACAGTAAATAAAAACTATCATTATATAATAAATTGGGATATAACTATATTAGGTTATTTGATACATATTAATATACTATATTATATTATACATAATACATACACATTGATAAGACTTGCCAGTTGTCAGTCCAATATGTAGGTAAAATTCTTAGATCATATTATTATACTAGTAAAATGCGACCGTTGTTAGGATGTTAGCACATTTATTGTTGTCTGTATGACCCATCCCCAACATAGACAGCTTATTCATTAATTACACAAAATCGCATTTTATATTTATTATGGTTTTTTAGGGTTTGACATATAATTTTGTCGAAAATCATTGTAGCACCTATTTAAATATACAAAAAAGAAATTGTAAAGTCTAATAATAAATAAAATATAAAAAGACTAATCCTATATAATACCTATATGGCTATACATATGTCATATACCTAACTTTCAAAATATTATTCCCCCGACCCCCTTAATCCCTTTATAATTTACCCTATATGATTTTACTCTAAAAACCCATACAAGGAGTGCGTTTTGTCCATGCGTTGTCGTGGGGTAAACAAGAGAGAAAACAATAATATCAGGCTGACATTATCTTATATACGCTCACTCTTTAAGGGGTGTTGTCGACAAATTTCAAATAAATAATCCATCTTAATTTCAACACATATACTTTTGAATTATACATTTATATGAATGCGGTGATCTGCAGGTTGCACAGATTTTAGTGAAAAAAATACGATCATTGTCATGTTAAATTGATGTACTTATTGTCATATTATTATATGCTGCAGGATACATACTGAAAAAGATTGGACACATGACGGCTTTCTCCGTATCGTTTGCACTATTCTCAGTGAGATTTTTCCTCTATTCGATCATCAAAGATCCTTTGTGGGTATTGCCAGTAGAGCTATCCAATGGTATAACGTTCACATTGGCCTTCGTGGCTGGCATTTCGTACGCGGCTGAAGTAGCACCGAGTGGCAGCGCAGGCACTCTCCAAGGACTGTTCGGCATGGCCTTTCACGGAATAGGTAAGCACTGTCAAAATAAAATAAATAATTAGAATCTAGTATATATTATACCTACTTACAATAAACTGACTTTGTTTAAAAGTTCTCATTTTCCTCAATTTTTTTTTTTTTTAATTTTCACGGTTATTTTGAAAAGTAAAAAGAAAAAAAAAATTTTAATTCTAACAGGGATGGGTTATATCCATTGGTTTTCCCAACATTTTGAATAAATCTCGGCCTGTATTTATTTATTTTATTAAATTGTCCTATAAATACGACTTTTTAGTATAATGGTGCCCGGTGGTGGTGTTATGATTGTGGTAACTGGCTAGTGTATAATATTAATAACTTGATTGAATAATGTTTTTCCAAAAAAATTTTTGTTTCAGGTTTATCACTTGGTTCATTCATGGCGGGTTACACGTTCAAACATATGGGAAGTTCGGCTTCTTTCGAACTATTGAGTTATGTGGCATTTACCACGTTTCTAGTCCAAGTATCCGTCAGCCAATTAATAATGCGAATGAGTAAACCCATAGAAAATGGCACCTCGGACTAGCATACAACAAAATTAATCGTTGCACTTGTCCTAGAAAACTCATTTACCTCAGGTCACATGAACCCAATACCGGTTATACTTACAGTCTACCATGGTCAACGGAAATAACGCTTCGTTCTCTACAGTAGTTTTTATATTTAAATGACAAAAATATATTTTATTATAATATAAGTGATTTAGTTTTATCATCATATTACTATAATATGTTAAGAATAAAATTATAAATATAACATTATTTTAGATTCTGAATGGAACGATAAATACGAGTATATAGATTTTTTATGTTTTTTTTTTCGTGTCTGTCATCACGGTTTGGGAAAGGAAAACTGCTTCGATTTTCGTCAACAGTATCTTGTTCGATGGGAAAGCGAATCTAATTGATGCATTCGGGAAGTCAAATTTTAAAATTCCCAATAGATTTCAAGAGCGCCGGGAAAAACAACATAACAATTAAGGAAAAACGGAAATTTCTACGCAAAATCGGTTTTTCAAAATATCGATTTTGGTTTTTAGTGTAACTCTAAAACAAATTAAAGTATATACATGACATTTTCACTGGTTGTTTATATTTGAATTTTCTATACACAATAATTTTCAAAATATTATGATTTGTTTTGAACTGTTTAGGAACATTTTAATTTTCCATTTTTTAGATTCTGAGTGGAACGATGAATGTCTTGATTTTATAATGATGTGTGTTTTTTTTATTTTTTATTTTTTTTTTGGGGGGTCTGTCATTACCTTTTAGGACAGTAAAATTGGATTTTCTTCAACAGTTATTATTAAGATTATTCGGGGGTACTTGAAACTTCTAAAGTGCACTATTATATATCTATAATAGTATCACGGTTTTGTTGTTGATGTATAAAAAGTTATAAGTACCTAATAGCTATTGTGATATGATTAATTTGGAATTTATTATAGGTACAAATTTTTTTTTTAATACCATAGATAAGTATTTAATATGTCTTATACATAGACTGACTACCGTCTCCTCTCAGAATCGTTTTTCTTATACAATGATATTTTATCATTGAATTAAAATTGAATACCATCCATTATACAGTAACCCACTTGTAACCTACTGTACAGCAGAGCACCTTTTTTTGGTTTTTTTTCTAAAAATATCAACAAAATTTTATTTGTCGATTAAAAAAGCTTGATAATGTAATACAATGCTCCTACTATATTGTTACATTGACAATTGAAAAATATTAAAAATCCTTATTCACATTTTATTCTTATTTTGTTGTGATTCAAAAATGAATAACTGTAGATACATAAAAAATTCACTGAATGTTTGTTTTATCAATTCTTATATACTTGGTAAAATTTTCAAAATATTTTGACTTATTTTGAGCTGTTTACGGACAATTTCATATTTCAATTTTTTTTTCCTTGAATATCAATTAATTTTTATCTGTTGGGTCAAAAAGTGTAAAAATGTAATACAAGGCTCTTAAAAATACACTGGCACAATTCTTTTTTATAAGCATTTAAAGATCGAATTTTGACAAAATTTATCAAATTAAAATTGAATAATTATTTTGTAGTTAAAAATGTATAAAATGTTCAACTTTTATATCTAAGGATTGAAAATGTATAAAAAGATTCCACCTATGTATTTAATTCTGTTACCAATAAATCTAAAAATACATAAGCACAGTTTATTTTTATTGTCATTTTAAGTTCAAATTTGGACGAAATTACATAATAAAAAACCTAGAATAACTATTTTAGTTATTTTGTTGTGATTGTATAATACTATTCGTGGGTACTTGAAACTTTTTAAGTATACTAGGTACTATATATATCTATGACTATCTCTATGATAGTATCACGGTTTGTTAGTGGATTTATAACGCGTTATAATTCTCTAATGGATATTTTGATATGAATATATGATTAATATGGTATTTATTATAGGTACCTATTAAAGATCAATTTTATTTTTAATACCATAGATAAGTTTATAATATGTCTTATACCTAGACGGCTAGACTGACATATCGTCTCCGCTCAAAATCGTTTTTCTTATACAATGATATTATATCATTGAATTCAAATTTAATACCATCCATTATACAGTGACCCACTTGTAACCTACTGAACAGCAGAATACCTTTTTTAATAACAAAAAATCATTAATAATTGTTATTCATTTTCAACAAAAATTGCCACATACACTTGCAGATGATACAAATCTAATTAAAGATTGTTAAATACTATTAAATATAGTGTATGGATAATATCAATATTTTATCAGAAATGCATTGTGAAATTAAGTTTTAAATAGTATTTGATTAATAAATTAAGAACTGGAATATAGAATATAAAAAAAGTCCTGAAATTATAATTTTTTTTTTCAAGATTTTAAATACAATTGTAAAAGAATCCCATAAGCATAAGGTACAGGGGCGGATCTAGGGGAGGGTTCAGGAGGTCAACTGACCCACAGTTAATATTTTCTGATCAAATTGGCCTCTTTTCAGATCTTGAGTAGTTGGACACTTAAATAAACACACATATAGTATAAATTAATTTTAAATTCTGAGTGGAACGATGAATGTATTGATTTTACAATGTGTGATTTTTTTAAAAATTTTTTTGATTTATTTTTGTGTCTGTGTACACGATAGGTAGTCGAAATAATGCTTAGATTTTCAACTTCAGTATCTTGTTCGATTGGAAAGTGAATCTAGTTGGTGCATTCGGGAGGTAAAATTTTAAAATTCCCAATAGTTTTCACAAGCGCCGGGATTAAACACATAAAAATTAAGGAATAACGGAAATTTTTACTCAAAATCTGTTTTCCAAAAAATCGATTTTGGTTTTTGGTGTAACTCTAAAAAAAATGAACTTAAATACATGAAATTTTCACTGGTTGCTTATATTTTCATTTTCTATACACAATAAAATTTTTAAAATATTATGATTTGTTTTGAACTGTTTAGGGACATTTTCATTTTCCATTTTTTTTTTAGTTTTTATTCTAAAAATATCAATAAAATTTTATTTGTTAGCTTAGAAAGCTTGAAAATGTATTATAAGGCTCCTAGAGTATATTGTTTAAAGGCAGATGAAAAATATTAAAAATAGTTAGTCACAATTTTCTTTTATAAGCATTTAACCGAAGTGCCTTCGCTGGTTGGTTCTTCCCTCAAGATATTCAAGCTCATAAATTATAATTTTAAAAATAACCATCATTTATGCTTATTGTAGTTTTTTTTTATGTACAGATTGTATAGTTTCTAGATTAAAAATAAAAAAAAAAAAAAAAAAAAAAAATAAGCATTTAAAGTTCAAAAATTGACAAAATATGGAAAAATCACGAAATATAGAAAATTATTTTGAGTTAAGAATTCGTAAAAGTTTTTCTTTTTAAATCTAAGATTTGAAAATGTAATACAAGATTACTCATAAGTTTGTCTACCTTTATCAATAAAAAAATCTCTACCGGAAAGTTAAATTAAATTTTTATGAGAGTTTGAAATTCAAATTTTTACAACATTGGATATTCACTCGATTTCTCATGTAGCGATTTCCTTATTTTGTTGTAATTCAAAAACAAATAACTGTAGATAAATGAAAATTTCACTGAATGTTCATATTAGCATTTCCTATACAATGTACAATTTTGAAAATAATTGTTTTTCTTATACAATGATATTATATATAATTATAAATTCAAATTTAATACCATCCATTACAGCGACCCCCACTTGTAAGTTGTAACCTAATGTACAGCAGGTTAGGTATACAGCAAAAATATTTTGACTCTTTTTGAGTTGTTTACGGATATTTTCAGTTTTCAATTTTTTTAGTTTTTTTTCTATAAATATCAATAAAGTTTTATCTGTTATGCCAAAAAGTGTAGAAATTTAATATAAGGCTCCTGATATATTGTTACAATATCAATTGAAAAATATTAAAATACATATAGGCTGCACAATTTTTTTTATAAGCATTTAAAGATCGAATTTTGACAAAATTTATCAAATTTAAAATTGAATAATTATTTTGTAGTTAAAAATGTATAAAATGTTCAACTTTTATATCTAAGGATTGAAAATTTAAAACATGATTTCACCATTGTAGTTAATTCTGTTACCAAAAAATCTCAAAAATACATAAGCACAGTTTATTTTTATAGTCATTTTAAGTTCAACTTTGGATAAAATTACATAAAAAAAAACCTAGAATAACTATTTTAGTTATTTTTTTGTGTTTGTGTAATATTATTCGTGGGTACTTGAAACTTCTAAAGTACACTATTATATACCTATGGAGTATGGACTATGATAGTATCTGGGTTTGTTGTTGACGTATAACGCATTATAAGTACCTAATGGATATTGGGATATGATTAATTTGGAATTAATTATAAGTAAATTTTTTTTAATACGATAGATAAGAAAATAATATGCCTTATACCTAGACTGACTTACCGTCTCCGCTCAGAATCGTTTTTCTTATACAATGATATTATATCATTGGATTCAAATTTAATACTATCCATTATACAGTGACCCACTTGTAACCTACTGTACAGCGGAGCACCTTTTTTTTGTTTTATATGCCTAGTACACAAGTATAGATTTCTAATTTGGTTTTAATAAGTGGCCCCCTGAAATTTCCTGACCCACAGTTTCCTAACTCTGGATCCGCCCCTGATAAGGTAGGTAGGTATATGTTATATATATAATATATATATATCAATAAACTGAGCATTGTATTGAAAATTATAATAGCAACTACGTGATACCACAGAACAATAGTGATACGGATCAAGCCCCTTTTTTATTTTTCTATATTTTTCAAACTGTGCAAACAGAGACCGTATAATGTCCTCTCACAAGTCACAAGCTAAATATTTAATGTCAACATTGATAATTATTACACGTGATTGACATTATATTTTATTTTATAATACATAACAAGTCTATATTGTTTACACGCTTGGCAGCTTTTACGGCATAATAATTAATAGGGAAACAATTTTCTCGGTCTAAAAATAACGAACAAAAGTAATAGTAATAATTCATTTTCTGTTGTATAAATGTTTACATGCGACTGTCACAAACCATACGTATAATGATATTATATCAACGGACATATCGTTGAACGATTTTAGTAAGTTATTGTGCTACATTATGTTATTTTAAAAACATATACTTGAAAAAACCATGCGATTTAAGATTTTTAAGTACCTAGATATATTAATCTGACAAACTATAAGGCAGGAATAATTCAACATTTATTATAATAAAATTTATATATAAAAACTATGTAACTAATTTTGTTAATAGTTGTTACGTTTTTCCACTTTTCCTTGGATTGCGCAATTACATGTGATAAGATTAACTTATCAACATGTCATAAACCTATCAAATTAATTACCATTTGTTTGATAACTTAAATATTGTAAAACAGTATATTATTATTGTTTTGTCACATTTGATTAATTTTTAATTAACTATAATTGAAATAATAATTGACAACTCATTAAAATGTTTTTTGTTATATTAAATTTGTAGAAGTAATCTCTTGTATATATGTATACTATTTAGTATCTATTTATATTATAATTCTAATGAAATTTATGATATCGTCTATTTTCACTTCACATAAAGACTTATAAATAAATTATTAAGACATCATTATTCATTAAACATTTTAATTATGTAATAGTTATGACTGATTTCAAAACACCACCAAATGATTTCAAATTGAGTTTCATTAATTGCAAATCATCCAGTTTTGAGTAAACTCAAATTAAAATTTTGGGGGGGCAACTTTATGTAACCCCCACTTTGTTCGATCGACATCAAAATACGTCCAATTAATTGAAAACTAATTGTAAATAATTTCAAATCGAGTTTTGCTAATTGCAAATAATTTTTTATATATTTTTTACGAATGTTTAAATTTTGTAGCAAGCCCCCACAGATCCTATGTAACCACTAACCAGTTTTAATACTTTTATAGATAAATATATCTAAATAAAAATTGCAATTTTTTTTAATAGCTTTATCAAGAAACAAGTTTGAAAGACCAGATTTTTTTTATTCCTTTTAGATTCTTTTTAACTCTAATTTTTTTTTTTTTTTATTGAAATTCGATTTGGAAAAATATCTATATTTACTATCAAATCTTGATAGAATAAAAAAAAAAAATTATATTTATTCATTAGATATTTTTATAAATCGAATTTCAATAAAAAAAAGCGAAGTTGAATAAAAAAATCTAATTAGAAATCAAAAGAATCTAAAATGAATAAAAAAATCTGATCCCTCAAACTTGTTTCTTGATAAAGCTTTTAAAAAAGTAGCAAATTGGGGGCTCCTTACAAAATTTAAAAATTTGGAAAAAGTATAAAAAAATTATTAGCAATTAGAGAAACTCGATTTGCAATTAGTTTGCAATTGATTGGCAGTATTTTGAAGTCAATCGGACAAATTTTGGAGGCTATATAAGTTAATTTGAGTTTACTCAAAACTGTTTTTTTATGCAATGAACTAACTCGATTTGCAATTATTTGGTGGTATTTTGATATCAGTAAGACAAAGGGGGGTAGGCAACTTTATGTACATGCTGCTAGGCCACGAACGCGTTCGGGGCTCAAGGCTGTATTTGTGTTGAGAGCCCTGATAGTACTATGAATATTGGATATTGAATATTATTATATATTATATTATAATTTATAATACTATTATCATTTTATCAAAAATCACTGAAATAAAGAAAATCAAATATACACAAATTAAATTACATTAAACAATATTAAGTTGTATAATATTATAGGGCGTATTATTTATATAATTTTTTAGAATTATAAATAATTACTATGTATAAGTATGTAGTTAACTTAAATGTGAATTTTAAATAAGGTACATTTAAAAAAATATAATATTTTGCACTACCCTCTATTATAAGCACTTTTTTATCATTTTATGAATTAACATATTTTGGGGCCCTCCTGAACAAACGGCTATAGAGCATAGGTGAAAATGGATTAAAATTTAAAGGAGTGGGGGGCTAAAATCAATTTGAGTGGAGGGGAGTTGATCGCACATAACTAGAAAGCTGTCTGTTTTCGAGGGCTAATTATGGAATATTGATGGGCTAGCCTCTCGCCTCCCCCAAGCACCCCGATTTCCACCTATGGACTGGACTACAAACTAGAATCAGGCTTATACTAGCTTATAATATATACAACTTATATACTGTACTGGGTGAGATACAACATTTCGAGACAACGAGTAAATTACTAATAAAATAAAATAATATAGGTACCTTACCTATACTTATATCATAGGTTTGTGTTCAAGTCAATGTATAAATGTCTGATGCTCTGATTATCGTTGAAACAACAAATAAAGCTGAATACAATTTCTACTCAAACTACAGTGTAAAAAAATCCAGTTCTACTCTCTCAAGTGGTTGTTAGCAAATATATGTTGTTGAACAATATTAAATCGTATTATATTTATATAATATATTAGTATCTACAATATAACTGCCGTATATAAATATTTAATTCATAATATTTATTCGAATAGCGTTTAAATGTACTTAACCTGCATGTTAGTTAAAAACATTGAAAATAGGAAAAATATACGTATATTATCTCAACGCGGGAACGATAAAAAAAATGTCAAGTGTTAGCACAAATGTATATCAGCAGTATTCTTTAAGCGTTAGATCTGTCAACACAATTTTCATCGACATAATAAAATTATAACATAATTCCACGAATCATACATTCATATTCGCGAGTGTTTCGAACTACGAAGGTCTACAAGGTCCAAAATGCGTCTTCCTAAAGTTAACGTAAAATTGTTACCCATCAAGGCTCATTTTTTCCTCTCGAATGGCGGTAAGACCCGTCGTGATTGTACCTGCTCCGGACAGCAGACCGCGACTAACTCGTGACAGAGTACAAGATTTTATTATTGCAGTACTTATATATAATATTTACGTACCTATACCATTAATCACATTGTTTTGTCACGTTGTGGCTTTTTCTTTATAATTTCTTCTTCATAACTATATTTCTCCTTATGTCGTGGACTCGTGTTGACCGCCACTGCAGGCACGTCGCCACTGACTCCATACCTGACCACCATGGCCAAACAACGGGGCTACTCTGCACGACTGGTGGGCGCCGTCTTCTCAGTGCTGCCCCTCGCCGCAGTGTTCGCCCGTCCCGTTTTCGGCGCAGTGGCCGATCACTTCCGATGTCAAAAGACCATGTTCCTGTGCTTCATCGTCGTGGTTACTCTGATAACCGCTTCCTACGAAATCGTGCCCGACCCACCTGCGGACGTCGACAACGGGAGGGACGAGATCGCGCTCTCCACTCACCAATTCTGGTTGTTTTGCGCATTCTTGGCGGCTAGATACGTCACGCTCAGCATTGTCACCACTTTATCGGAAACCATGTGCTTGCAAAGCTTGGGTAGGTTTGAGAAATACCATATATCTATATCCGTATAGTGTTATTGGTCATCTCGATCGAAAAGCATGTGGATACCAAATACTAGTCATTGGTCAAGATAATAATATTGTAACGGAGGTCGGATAATGACATTCGTATTTCGTACACATAAATAGGTTGAGACGTCGAGTCCTTAAATCCACAGATACGAGTTTAAATGGGAATCGAAATTAAAAATATTATAATATTTAATATAAACTTATATCTGTATACTTTGCCCAGCGAGAGAACACACCGCGGCCAGACGAAAATCGATTTTTCTGAGCATCCCCATGCAACACCCTGCCATATAACGGAACCGGTCTCGAAGGCAGGGTGTCACGTGAAGATTAGGATAATTGGCATTTTCTCTCGCTGGACAGAGTATAATACCATATAGATCATGAGTTATATAATTGTTCATAATTATGTTCTGACATGACCTGCAGGTAAAGACACGCACAAGTTTGGACAACAACGATTTTGGGGCTGTATCGGTTGGGGTTCGGTTTCTATGATGACTGGTTGGTTGATCGACTGGTACAGTGGTGAGAGTCCGATAAAAAACTACACACCCGGAATCATCGTGTCAATAGTTCTCTTGTTGGCAGACTTACTGGTTGCATTTAAAATAGATGTAATTATATATTTTACTTTTAACTCTTATATCTGTATTCACATAAGATGTCTTTATTGTTTTTATCATAATCTAAAACATATACTTCTACAAACTATTAATATATTAATTTATCAAATATGCTGTACACTAATTAATATAATTTATAATATAGTTTTAACTCTTCAATAAAACTTAATAGATTTTTTTACTTATATACATTTTGATTTTTAGTAAACAACATTTTTGGGACTTCAAGAAATGTTTTAAGGTTATTAGTTCATTAAATGTACAGCCCAATATAATGACATTGCTGTATTATGACATTTTTACAATATTTAAAATAGTAAAATACTTAGATTTTGGTAAATCAATATTAACAATTAAATATAAATTATGCTATGATAATATGTGGCTTTAACTCGTACATTTATTTGTTCTGTAATAGTAACTAGGTACGCCACGTAAACTTAAATACTCTTTTTTATTCAACCACTAATGGTAGTTATACCTTATACCTCCTCCCCATGATTGGTTAGTATTACTTAGTAATACACTAATACATAAAGGACATGCGTAGTACCTATACCCATGTATAATTTGTGTTGGATAAGTTTTAACCTAGGTATCAAGTATCCAAATTAAGAAATATTAATATTATATAATTGAATATGCAATCTATAATCTATTAAATTAATAAAGGTTTATATTTTCAAGGATTGTCAAAGTGATGTCGTATCAAAATATATTTTCAAAGATCTCAGAAAAGTGCTAGGTGATATTAAGGTTGTAAGTTTCCTTATTTGGGTAATATTTTTTGGAATTTTTTATGGAAGTATTTCACTATATTTGTTATGGTACGTAACTTTATTTGTTTGCATCTTGCACATTAAAAAATATTAATAAACACTTTATAAAGGCATATGGAAGAACTGGTCACTAGATTTCACCCGGAAAAATATTCTTCGATTAAAACAATTCAAGGAACCATGTTTGCTATAAAATGTTTTGGTGGTGAAGGTCCATTTTTCTTTTTATCTGGTGAGTTACTCATTTGCAATACAATTATATTTATTCAGCTATAACAATTGATTAAATATTAATACTAAATAACAGGTAAAATTATCAAAAAAGTTGGTCATCTGAATTCGATAGTAATTGGTCTTGCTTCACTATCGTTTAGATTTTTTCTATACTTTATTATTAAAGATCCAGTATGGGTGTTGCCCGTAGAGTTGTTGAGTGGTCTAGGTTTTGCATTACCATATTCGGCAATGACAGCTTATGCATCCGTTTTGGCACCAGAAGGGCTCAAAAGTACTGTTCAGGGGTTGTTTAGTACGGTTTTCCAAGGAGTAGGCAAGTATTTAATGAAATAATTAAACAATTTTAATTTCACGAGCATTGAGGATATACAACTAATTGTAACTAAATTTATAATCTTTGTTTAGGCGTGGGTCTAGGAAGTCTTATAACGGGTTACCTCTTCAACGAAATAGGGAGCAGCGAGACTTACCTCGTCTTGAGCATATTGGCATTAGTTGTTTGTTGTATACAGACTATTACAATCAAGATTATGGCTAGAACTTCAACATCCCAAGAAAATGGTGACGTCAATTATAGCATAACGTGAAGCAACACCTTTAGAGGATGTCATACTCACATATTACATACCTTCTCTCTGTGACTCTGTCATACTAACAAAACACAGCGAATTTTACGTCAGAATAAACTATTTTACTCTGTTAATTTTAATATTAGAAAGAATTTACTTAATAATTATTATAAAATTTTAATGTAAGAATACTATTTAGAGCTTCGCACCTTCGCGTAAATTGTTTTTGATATTTTAATTTTTAAGCAAGTTATGAGCATTTAAAAATGTACAACAAATTCTAATTTTACCTACAACAGCTATGCTCTAAGTAATATTCTTACCTTTATGTTTGATAATAGGTAAATTCACTTGATTATTTACAAATCATTTCACATAGCTAAAAATAATCATGTAAAATATTATTCGCTGAACGATCAATTTTCCATGGTATGCGTTAGTAAGGTGAAGACAACACAACCTCTTAATGCATTTAAGTAATTATTGTAAAGAAAATCATTGATTATAATTATGTATATAAATTACCAAACTGTATAAAGAAACATAATATAAAATGTTTTGAATAAAAAAAAATGTAATTTAAATATTACCTACTATAAAGATCCTATACCTAACTAGCTTTGTTTTGTGATGTTTTTATTATTATTATTATTATTATTATAAGTCACAACAACATAGATTATTGGCTGCTTTGATATTGGTCCAAGGCCAAAATAATAATAATTGTACAATGTTTCAGACAGCGCGGCGTTTTGTGTAGGCAATTTATGGTTGTAGATTTACATAAATTATTTATTTATTTATTATTATAATTATAATTGTAATTATATGATTTGTAATTCAATAGTATTTTGATAGCATAAGCTATGTATAAATCAATGATATAAATAATAGGTTTGGTACAAATTTAATGAATAAAAATGTGATGAAATATAATTCAAAATAAATTTAAAAAAAAAAACAAGAATAATGAATACTCATATACTACAGTTGTACCTACCTAATTGTTGCGTAATATGAGTAAATAAAATAATAATAAATTATATGTATCATATATTTGTATTTTAAAACACAATTCCAAGAAGTACCATCACTGGATGGTTTCTTCGCTCAAATTATCTGTCTTTTTCTCTTTATTTGTATTTTAATTTTTATTTTATTAATCTACAACACTTACACTTATTGTAAAAATAATATATTTACAGATTGTGTAATAAAACTAATTAAAAAAAAAAAAAAAAAAAAAAACACAATTTATTAAAAATAATTTATAATTGTCAATTTTTTCTAAAAATAAACATTATTTTATATGTTATTACAATTTTGACCAAATTTAAACCAAAATTGTTAGGATCCTTCTAAAAAAAGTTTTGAACTTTAAAAAAAACTTATGAATAATAATATAAATTGTGTAAGTTGTTGTGACTAATAATACTTTTTTGACTAGTAAAGTTAAAATATAGTATATACCAGATACCTACTATATACAGAAGGTTTACTTACTCAAAAATTTGTTACGATTTCATAAAAAAAAATTGCTTTCTAAAACCGTTGAACTTTATTATTTTTGTTCATCCATTATTGTAATTACATACTTTACCACAATTACCATTGGCCGTCTAGAGTGGAGCCGGGTTCTTATAGCTACGCCGTCTCTTGTGTCGTGTGGATTTTACCGTATTCTGATTGACCGTTGTTATCATGGTATCATTCCGCATTCGACAATCACTACGGTCTATCAGGAAATTTCTTGAGTTGAGTTGAACATAACGTTTGGACAAGACTGCACAAGATACGACATAGCTGTGACTCGTCTTTAGAAAAATATATTATGGACGAATCCTTTCGCAGATGATGTTTAAAAGATAAACAGTTTCTATGCATTTGCAATGACATAAATATCATTACATAAAACTATAAAAGCCAGTGCTACCCATGAATATTTAAATTATATTATATTAATATTTTTTTATGTGCATTGGCTCAACTAGGGATATACTGAGAGGACTTGTGCACCCCCGTCTCCCAGTTTAAAATGTGCACCCGCAAAAAATAAAAGACTTTTTCCATTATATTTTGATTAGGTATTTTGAAGTAAAATTTATCAATAAATACAAAAATATTGTATTATACCTATATATTGTATTTTGAGGAATAAAATAGGTACTTTACTGTTATGTTTTCAGCTATATAACATAATATTATGAAATAATGTGTTGTACAGAACAGGTCACACTGTCACAGATACTTAGTTATTACCATACGTAGTTATTACTTATTTGTGTAACAATAGTCATTGTATTATTATTATTATTATTATTATTATTCTCATTAATTAACCCTTGGCAACTTAGGCAATTGGGTGGTTTTTAACTTTGTGGGAGGGTACTGTAGAGTGTAGGTTTTAAATACGTGTGTTTTTAGTTTGGCAGAATTTTCAAGTGGGCAGCAGCAGTAGGTATCTGCCATGCCAGGGTGGGGGATGGCGGCTTCTCTCTCCAGACACTGTAACAGCCCGAAGAGAAGTGCCTCCAGTGGCAGGGGTTCAAACCGGCGACGGTGAGCGTCGCAACCGACGCCTTAGAATTTAGATGCTCGGCCACTCTGTCCCCCCATAATATTATTATATTATCGGTTGACGAAATAACTTTGAACACTGCAGGATAACGAAATTTTATCTTTATCTTTGGCGGGATGAAAGCCTATGAATGTGAGCTCGTTAACATTGTCTCATTGTTTATAATTTGTTATTAAAGTGTAGATATTGATTATTGAATATACTATGATAACAGGAATCATTTATCACAAAATATTTGTTTTTTCAATTTGTTACTACGCGTCTTACAAATGGAGCCGCACTGATCTTTAGAAAAAATATTTTTTAAATGCCATTTTGTCATTTTTGACAGTTCTCCAGCTCCCGATATTTCGTAAATTTGCACTTGAACCACTTGTGATCTGTATAGCTCCGAAAATATATTTCTTTAATCTCTACCACGGTCTTATGTTATACAGGTTTTTGTCTTATTAGTATTTGTGTTTTCTATATTACTTCAATATACTCGATGTACCTACCTATAGGATTACTGTAGCGTCACATTTTCACACCACCTAGCTCACATCAATTTCCACACCACCTAGCTTATTAAACGACATTATATCACATCATCCATGTTGTTTAAAAGCATGGGGTACACGTGGTGCGTTTTTTTTTATTGTGGTGTCCCCTGTAGGCCTAATCCACATCGCTAGCGAGAACACTCGAACGCCGGTTGACTACAATAATATTGTAATTTACATAGATCAGTACAGCGAAAACTGCACTACTTTTGTATAAGGTATAAAATTTTTCGTTATTGATACATAGATAAAACATATTTTAATATAAATAAACAAATATCGAATTTAAAGTTAGGTTTTATTGTTTTAATTTCAAATTTTTAATTTTGTTGCAACACGGCATTCGCACATTTTCGGTTTACTATAGCGTTGAATTTTGGTGTGTTTCGGCCTCTGAAAGGCGAACTAGGCTGCTGGTACCAAGGGGTTTATCTTTATATTTGTCATATGTTAACACTTATCAGTGTTTCCCTCCCACTATTCTGTTGTGACCTTATATGAACAAAGTTCTGTAGTTTAGTCAATTACGTGTTAAACGCCGAACCGCTCGGAACTCAGTGTGTATAATGTGATAAGCTAAAGTAATAAAGTATAAGTTCTTTCTGCACTAAGTAATTGTTGTTAATACATATAACATTAAAACAAGTCCAAGAGGAGTAAAAATACAATAGTTTTAAATTATTAGGATGATATCCCCCCGATATTTATTTAAAATTCAACACTGTCTTAATATTATAACTATAACTATATTATTATTACTATTATTATTATATATACCATATTTTTATTATAAATATTATTATTTAAGGATTACCAAAGTCCTATTTCTAAGTCTCCTACCACTTACTATTCATTCTTATTAGATATCTTTATTCAACCTGTTTTAAATGTCATGAAGCTCATTTATTCATAAACATTTCTTTACAGTCCTGGAACAAAGTGTTTATTATTATTTTATGTGCGACGCCGGCCAGCGATAGCGGGTGATGCGTGGAGATGAAATGGTGAAGGGACAACAATATTAAATATAAATACATTTTACAAAATACTTTTAATACATAAAATCATCTTACTTTGTTTAGGCATCTATAGTTAAGCTTACTTATATCAAAATAATTCCTTATCGTCACTTGGACTTAATAACTTTTTTATGAAGCTTGAGAGTTGAGGGGTGATGAAACATTGTAAGTGCATAAAAATATTTCCGTCTTCAGATTCCTATGTGGCCTCAATAATTGCATTCATTGTTGATGTGCGTGCGTCTATGAATCTATAAAGTGTAATTGTTTTATGTTGAAAATAAAAAGAACTTATAATTTAACTTAAGAAAGTTAAAAAGAATATAGGAAAACTTTTAGAAAATAAAAATCATAACAGTAAACGAAAAAATATAAATATTATTAACGAAAGTAAAATCTGATGTATTATGTTATACAAAATTAAAACGGTAATAACATTAATTAGAAAATGAACAACTATGTAGCTTATACTATTGAGCCAGCATAATATATATTATGTATTAATTATTATAATTATTATAATTATAGTAATAAATATGAATAATTTGTTAGTGTACGTTTGTTTATATTGTGTTTGTGGCCAACACACGATACAACAAATTAATATCTACCAATAGTAGCCAGTAGGCGTAAAGCCAGTGCCGTGTTAAGGTGTAATGCCGCCGGAGGCACACATATTTAAATATTTTTCCACCTCATACCGCAGTCATACCCATAAAAAAATAAAACTACTTAACAAGAAATTAACGATCTAAGTCTTTCCTGTTTAAAGCTATACTAATTCTAGTTCAAATCAGTCGGAGTTAAAAAGCACCTACTCAACTGAATAAAAATTATTGTAATAGCATTATTGATTAGGGTGAAATTGAGATAGAAGAG